CTGATCCCTTCGGCTTGAATGATTTCCCTATATTTCCCTCTTTCCAATAGCACGGGTGCCATGCCGGTCTCGGCATCCAAGGTTTGGCCTCGTTGCTGGTGACCACCGAAGCGCCTTTGGGCAAAGCACTGGCAGCTATGGACCATGGGGGGCCCTTTCCGGAGGCACCGAACACCAGGACCATGAGCTGCAAGCTTAGGCATTAAAGGGACAAGATTATTCCCCAAACTTTCACTTTGAGTAGATTCGTTTGGTGCTGTATGTGCTGTGAACAGAAGAAATCAGGTGCCACTGCCACCGAATTATGGTTTCAGATCCATCGCATCAGAGACTCCACAGTGCAGGGCCACGAGAAGGAACCTCTGGGAGAGCGACAGTACGCCATGCCCGGACCTCACCAAGTTTGCCATGAGCAAACTCCGCCCAAATGGTGACCAACTTTTTTGGTGTTCCATTTTTTGAGACCCACCAAATTTCCAGTTTCCAGGCTTGATTCTTTCCGCTTACGCTCTTGTTGCCAAGCCTTCCAAACTTTCGGCTGAGCTTCACCAGCGAATCGAGGCAGCGCGTACTGGTTGACGGGGGATACGGTGAAGAGGAGAAGGAACGGCTGTGCGACTTGCAACCGGAGGCGTGGCGCAGTGGAACCGTGAAGTGTTGGGATGCTGGCTTTTCAACCTCGGATGTGCTGATTTCTTCTGATTCTTGCCTGATGAAATTCTATGATTGAGCACTTTGCCGGGAGAATTTCAGAGATACCACTGATACAACTGCGTGCCTTTTCGCGCTAATGGTTGCTTCTCAGCGCGATTTCCTAGACAGGTGGTGTTTTTACAGCATTTTATGCTTCAGGACTTGGATGCGAACAAGGATTCTCTAAGATTGCTGTGCTTTTTCTGTGACGCTGAAAGTGCCATTTCTGAAGAAGATGAATCACATGCTATTGAACCATGCTATATTGATATATCATATATCATATATCATATATCATATATCATAAACATCATAGATCATATATATATATATGATATATGATATATGATATATGATATATGATATATATATATATGATATATATATATCATATATATATATCACATATATATATATATCATATATATATATCATATATATATATCATATAGTTATATCATATATCATATATCATATACATGTATATATATATATATGATATATCTATTTTTGAATCAACAGATCTATCTGTTTCTAATCGACGGATTCCCAGATCTACCCCCTCAACTGCTGATCCAGGCGCAGTTGCGGAGGCTGATGGGCTCAGATGAGCAGGTCTTGGTCCTGGATGTCTATTGCGCTTTGGCACCCAAGGAGCTGATGGCTTGTGTGCAGCTGTCAGAGTGACTTGAAACACAAGTGGTGTGATCCACACGCGTATGAACCTATTTGTGTTTTAAACACATCATTGTTTCACCACAGCGCCAAGCACGTTTGCAACATTGTGTTTCATGGGCCTTGGTATTTCCATCGTTTTTTGTTATTTGCATAGGGCTTGATTGCCCCGAAGGAGTGTTTAGGAATGTCATGTGGTTCCGGAAAATCTCTAGCGTAGCATCAACCGCGTTGGAAAGTCAGCATGAACGTGTTGCCCCACCCGCCAACCCATCCCCATCCCCAGCCCCACCCCATGACAGCGTGGCAGATCTCTGGCGTAGCATCAACTGCGTTTGCAAGTGCAAGCCAACACGAACGTTGTTGCCCCACCCCACGGGTATATAACATACATAATTATAATGATATATAATATATCATATATAATATAATATAATATATATATATATATGTATATAATCTATAATCTATAACATATATATATATATAAGTTATATATATATATGTACATGATATAACATATAATATACAATATAATATAATATACTATATAATATAATATATAATACATATTATATATAATACATATTATATATAATATACATATTATAGAAATGGGACCAAATACTTAGACAATATCTTTTAATATAGGCGGAGAACTTACAAAAAGCACGGTTCCCCCTGCTTGCATAGGTAAAATGAATATGGCACCGTGAATGTTAGCTATCCTAGAGCAATCAGGTGTCCATGGCTGCCATGGCACTAGGAACTCAACGAATGGCTAGAGGAAAGTCACCCACACGACGCCGGTTCTCTAATGGCGTGATGTCTTGACCGCTAGGAGCACGTGGTGCGACACGACCTGGGCTCCATCATCAGGGAAGAGTTGCATGGTGGAAAGGACATTCAGAGAACGAACTTTAAGGATCTTCAATGTATATGCTATATCAGTATATATCAGTATATATCAGTATATTAATGTGTATACATACGTATATAGCACATGTTACTAGTGTGTCTGTAAGATTCAGTGACCAGTTCTGGCAGGTTTTTGCTGTTTGATTACCAGTGCCCCATGGCGCCTCAGGTTGCAGACCCTGCTTCGTGACGCAAAGCGACGAGGCGAGGTAGTTGCGACCTCACAGATCCCGCCTACCAGTGGTGACCGCGTGTAATGCGGGTTTTCCATGGTTCCCCCAGGTAAGTCAGGGGCTCATCAACTCATCACTTGAGTCAATTTCAGAACTGCGGAACAGATCTTTTGGCAGTGGGAAACATGGTCGTTCCCAGGGCAAGCGGTGGTCTTGGTGGTGGGCGGTGAATATCCCCTGGAGCTGGCGCGAAAGGTGTGCCTTGGCCAGGTCCAACGCAATCCCACGGTGCTGGGAATATCTCGGAATTTCCTTCATTGCAGGTTCTATCACCAATAGATTTCAAATGTGTCAAACGTTGTCAAACCGTGGGAAGGAAATTCAGCAATCCTCGGAATTATCACCATGTGTTTCAGCAGGTTTCCGATTTCAAATGTGTCAAACCATCGGCTGAGGTACATTCAGCCGTGCTTCACAGGCATTGGTGGATTGATGTGCGGGTGATTCATCTGCACTGGGTCAGTTGAGTGCAACAATTTGGAAAGCACCGAACGCCGCGAATGCCGATGCGGATGGTCATTGACGCAATCAGGGCTTCAAGAATCAAAACAGAGATTTTCGCATATTTTCGCTATTCTCATCTTGCCGCGGCATGTCACAATATGTCACAATATTTGGCCATGGGTTAGTGGCGCACCAGAAACCTCGGCCCTAATTGGTCAAGGTATTTTCGATGGAAGCAGACCCAGAAGAGTGCCTGGGAGCCGCCCAAGTTGATGGGGCAGAAACGTGTGTCTCAGCTGACGTGGACATGACTTGCGTGACTTGGACATGGGGACTGCGTTTCAGGAGATCCACAGTGAAATTGCTGAAACCATCTGAAACCCATATCCCATGACATTTAACATCACTATAACATCATTTAACTATTCTTCACAGATCTTTACAGTATCTTCACAGCACGCGTTGAGGTAATTTTTGGCCTGCAGCTTCCGTGATTGCCGCACAGACCATAGGAGCTTGCAGGAGCAGAGCCATGCGGCGTGATTCCATGTGATTCCGGTACTGGTGATTCTGCTTCGAGGATCTCAAACTCTTGTGACTTCTTGAGGTTATCTTGAGGTTTTTATTTTTTGGAGAACCCAATAAGCAGCCTCTAGATTTGTCAAGCTGCTCAAACTGGCTCCGAGATCTTTCTCCTTTCCTTATCCACCGACTCACGTGACTCACTTGACCAGTTTTGTGACCTCCAGCTACGACGATGTTTTCCTCAGACTCGGGGGTTTCCTAGAATATCTAAAATGATCCCCAAGACCATGGGTTTCAATCATAAGATTCGGGGGTACACCTCCATGCATCTTGTTCCCACGACATGCTACGGCTGGAGGATCGGGCAGTGGAGCCACAATGCGGGCAGTGAGGTTCGTGTTCTGCGCCGATGCTAGGTGTGTTGTAGTGGTTTTATCGTCTTTTCATTGGGAGGATTGAAGCGAAAGTCTAGAGGAAACCATGATTTTTCAAACATGGAGTTTTCCTTCTAGATTTTTGAGCTAAGCCAATGCTGTTTGATGTTGATTTTGATGGGTTTAGTTTTGATGCTTTGCTGGTTCTTCCATGTGGTTGCGGACTGCTTTAGTCCGTTGTGCACGAGATGTAGAAGTGGTCTTAGCAGCTGCGTTGAATTCATGGCTGCCCAGATGCAAGGCACGAGAAGAGAGATTTGTTGGTGTGCCTCCATGTGCGGCCTTCTTCCGAATGGGGCTTTCAATATTCCAAAAAGCTTGCAAGATCCCACAAGTGTTCAAGGATGTTCATGGCTCCTGCCATGGTGGCCACCAGATTTTTTGTGAGCTGAAATTCGTGGCAACGGATGCACTAATTCGATTTCCAGGGTCCCAGGGTCCCAGAGTGCCGAAGATTTCCCCCAGATCTGGACGCAGGTTGCTACTTGGATTTGCGGACAGGCTTTCCTTTCAGAAGTCCTGTTTGGTCTCCTTGGATCCTGAAGGCAGTGGTTGAAGCGTGAGGTTTGCTTCGTAAACGTGAAAAGCGCGCAACAATTCGCTCTCATTTTCCTGTCGTGTCATGCATATTTGGCATATTTGTCTAGTCTTATGAGATGGGTTGGATGTCTTTCGCCGAAGCTAACAGATCTAACAGCTACGACCAGATCAATGTCCTGTCCAGTCGACGTAATTGACATGGAACATGACCGCTATCTGTTGTAAGGGTTTATTACATTGTTCCAGGCCATTCTTGAGAATCTGAGCAGTTCGAAAGGATTTGAAAGTCTCTTTGCAGTCAGCGTCGGTATACAGTGTTTGCAAGCCTGGACGTCAACCTCGCAAACTTATGTGCACATATTCTTCAATATCCTGAAGGTAGCATACATCCGCCATGGAGCAGAAAAAGGATTCGAACGTCAACCTGTAGCACGGTTTTGAAAACGCAATTTCCAGATGGTTTAGAAAGTTTAGAAGCTTTCAAGCATCTAAGCTGGTGATGAATTATGGACAGCCCATCTTCAGCTCTCCAAGCCAGGGGTCCATGCCAGCCTCGCTGGATGAGGGCGCTCTCTACCCAGTAGGTGCCAAGGATAGTCAGTCCAAACGGGGATATCTTCATATGTGTCATATGTGGATGTTAGCCACATTTGTGTGTTCCAAAAACGTGGGGACCTAGAGCATTTGATGGTCTGTTACTAATCAAATGGTGAAACTGACAGTTTGAATTGCACCACTCTTGGACACGTCTAAACAACGAGGATTTTTTTGCTATCCGAAGTGAAGAACATTTGGGTCCTTAGAAACTGTGATATCAACGCTGTTGGGGGTTATCAATATCGTGACCTGTAGCAATCACCATATACTGTGCGCGTTGGTAGAAATTGAGTCGTACTAGTATAGAGTCACAGGGTATGTTTAGAGGGTATTGAAGGAAATTCGGTATGGGGTTGGGTATCCCGGATAGGTTCTGTGCAGGACAGCTTGTCTCCAGCCTGATCATTGAAGATGTAGCTCTCCTATTGTTCTTTGGTGACATATGGGATACTCTTCGAACAGGTAGGCTTCGATCCCTAGATGATACAGTAGTACCATGGCAGCCAATTGTCAGCGTGAGTTGAGATCCCAATGGGACGGAGACTTCTGTCATCATGTCTTTGCATAAGCTACCCACTTTAGGTATCTTTAGGTAAGGTTGCGAAGGTTACGAGGGCTTTAGCATGGTTTCGGCATGGTTTAGCAATCTTTTCTAGCAAAATTTAGCATGGTTCCGCTCGTCCCGGATCGTCCCGGATCGTCCCGGATCGTCGCCAGGTTTGGAAAGCCGCTTCGCATACCTCTTCGACTCTCCGCCACAGCCTCGGCCCTTGGGACGCCCAAATGGACGCCCAAATGGACGCCGACAGCGCCAGGGCCCGAAGTCATGTCACCACGGCCTTGGCGTCACAAGCCACGGCGGAGGATGATGTGGAGCTACGTGCCCAGTGGGAGGTGGGCGTGACACGTAGTGTGACAACGGATTCATCAACTCAATATATTCGATTCAATATATTCAACTGATATGTTGTTTCGTCTAGATGCTTAAGTGTCGTTTTGAAAATTAACACAGCCAATACTGCCAATACTCAATACTATTGGCCTGTGTCACTATGCATTTTTGGTGACTTTTTGGACACTGCGACATTGACAAGCTGCATCATGTCTTTATCCAAGCCATTCCAAGAAATGCTTCGAAATCTTGTGAGCATTGCCAGTGCCGAGCCTGGTGTCACTGCAAAGCACACCAACCATGATTTTCGTGCCAGGATGAGAATTTAGTCGAGTGGCAGAAGCTCACCGAGGCAACTGCAGGTATTGCATCTTGAGGGGCTGTGGCTCGACCGGATTTGCCATGGCTGCCACAGGCCTTAGAGAAGAGCGAAGCAGAGAAGGAGATGTGGCGCCGAAAGGTGGCCGTGGATCGGTCGTGGTCATGGGTTCATCGGTGGTCGTTGTGATCAAAAGCGACCTGTAATGCTACTTGGTAGGACCGATATAACCAGACTGTGGTGTTTGATCCTGCAGCCAGGCCGATGAACTGGAAGCTTTGGTGCTTCAAAGCGCTGATCGTCGGGGTCTCAGAAAAACTTCAACAGGAACTGACAGGAACTGATAGAAAATGGCTGAAACTTGGTTCAAACAGCCTCCAGTCCAGACAGGTTGCTTGTGCTGTATACTGACCGTGTATTGGATCTATTTTGGTGCTGCAACAGCTGCACATCGAGACGTTCCAAGTTCAGGGTTGAAGGCAAGGTTTCTTTTTCGCATTTTTGAGCAAGGGTTCTTGCCAGGGTTCCAGAAGGGTTGAAGAAGTAAAGTTTCTAAGAAAGGATTCTGAGCGTGCTGAGAGGTTCCAAGAAATAGAAGCCAATTTTGGACTTGGAACAGATCAGTCAAGATTTTTAGGCTTCAGCTGTTTGCAGCATTTGATTACTTGGAGATTTGTGTCTTTCTTTCTTTGCAGTTCTCCCGACGGAATCTGGCTGATTTTCCACGGGAGTGGATATCGCCCACAGGTCAAGGAGATGATGCTCCGAACTTGGCTTGGGGTATCCGGTCATCAGAGAATAAGCCCCATTTCTCGGCCATGGTCTTCCGCATTCCCAAGTCTAGGCTCTACCTGGAGAGCCGAGTGGATAGACCACGCGGAATACTTATATATTATATATGTATATCATAATATAATTAACTAGTAACTATTACATACTTATATAATGTTATTCCCAACAGCAGGGCCTGTTGGGTTTCAATCTCTAGGGCTGGGGCTGGCTCGCGGGGACTTGCAGCCTTCAAAATCCGGAATGGAACCCTGGAACCCTGGAACCCTGGAACCCCGGAACCCTGGAACCCTGAAACCCTGGAACCTTGGAACCCTGCGACCGTGGAACCCTGAAACCTTGGAACCTTGGCACCCTGGAACCCTCAAGGATTCTGGAACCCTGCTACCTTGGAACCCTGGAACCCTGGAACCTTGGAACCCTGCAACCCTGCACACCTGGCTGGCACCCTGCTGGGATCCTGGAACCCTGAAACCCTGGAACCCTTGGAACCCTTGGAACCCTGGAAACCTTGGAACCCTGAAACCGCGGGACCCTGGTACCCTGGAACCTTGGAACCCTTGAAACCCTAAAATTTCCAAACCCTAAACTCTATGCGCGCTGCGCGCACTGCATGCAATAAAGTAAACCCTAAAACTTCCAAACCCTAAACCCTAATGCGCGGTGCGCGCGCTGTGTCCCAGAGAAGTAAACCCTAAAATTTCCAAACCCTAAACCATCGTGTTATGCAACTTCCAAACCCTAAAGTTTAACCCGCGGTGTGCGCGCTGCATGCAATAAAATAAACCCTAAAACTTCCAAATCCTAAACCCTAATGCGTGCTGTGCGCGCTGCGTGCCAGAGATAAACCCTAAAACCTTCAAACCCTAAATACTAATGCGCGCTGCGCGCGCTTTGTGCAATAGAAATAAACCCTAAAATCTTCAAACCTGAAACTCTCGTGTCATAGAGGTAAACCCTAAAATTTCCAAACCCTAAACCCTAACGCGCGCTGCGCACGCTGTGTACCATAGAAGTACCCCTTAAAATCTCCAAACCCTAAACCATCGTGTTATGGAGGTTAACCCTAAAATTTCGAAACCCTAAAGTTCAACCCACGCTATACACGCTGTATGCGATAAAATAAACTATAAAATTTCCAAACCCCAAACCCTAATGCGCGCTGCGCGCACTGCGTGCCACACACATAAACCCTAAAAGTCCTAAAACTTTCAAACTTTAAACCGTAATGCGTACTGCGCGCACAGCCTGCCATAGAGGTAAACGGTTAAACTTTCAAACGCTGCGTGCCATAGAGGCAAAGCCTAAAACTTTCAAACGCTAAACCGTAAAGCAGGCTGCGCGCGCTGCGTGCCATAGAGTGCTCCTCACAAGTGATTACATGTTATACTTTAGTGGCATCCTCCAAATTCATTAGTCAGCCTTTGTTAATCCAGGGCCTATTTTACACATGTCATCTTCTTGGTCGTGGCGCCATTTCAGGATCACACTGATGACCTAAGCTTTGGCCTTAACTATTATGCAGGCAAGCGACATCAGCACGCTATGGTATTGGAAGACACAGGGTTTGCCCGTAGACCAGCCAAAAAATCGATTTTCCATACTGAACAATTGGATTTAACACATTTAGAATAGGAGCTCCGCCTGATTCAGATTTCATCACTTAAAAGGTACCCATGCCTGACTAGCCTTCATGACTTAAAGCGTCACCACACCCGACTTAAGGGAACCATGCCTGACTAGCCTTCATAATTAAGAAGTACCCACCCACGCCTGACTTAACAGAACCCATGCCTGACTAGCCTTCATAATTAAAAGGTACCCATGCCCCTGAATTCAGGGAACCATGCCTGACTAGCCTTCACAATTAAAAGGTACCCACTGGAACCATGCCTGACTAGCCTTAATGACTCAAAAGGCAACTACACCTGACTTAATACCTGATTTACTGGTTTTGCCTGATTTTGGAAAAACGCAGGGCCGGAATTTGCAGGGCGCGGGCCGGAATTTGCCGGGCCCGGGCCGAAATTTGCCGGGCTGGGATTTTGGGGTCGTGCCTAAATAGGATTTTTGCAAAAATCGTGCATGACTGAAGGGAACCATGCCTGACTAAACATCATACCAATCATCCCAAAAGAATCCAATAATTCCAGCAAGTGATGCCTGACCAATCCCTGCGTCATAATAAACCGTCTGCCCCTCCCCACCCAATAATGAACACACGGAATAGTTTTTTGTATTTAGTGGGTATTTAGTATGAGGGTGCGAAACTTCCCCCTTGGTTAAAAAAAATTAAATTGGAAAACATTTTTTAAATAACATCTAACTAAAATATTGCCAAAATTGGATTCCGAAGCTTCCCCCAGACATTAAATTGAAAACATTCGTTTTAAAAAATAAACTTTATATTTCAAAACCGATTGAATTCCTATTCAAAATCTAGCTCAAATCTTGCCAAATTGGATTTCGAAGCTTCCCCTTATATTAAATTGAAAACCTTACTAATCCCCACCTCCTTTTACTAAACATACCCTAAATACTAAAATATTACATCGATTCCTTTTACTAGGGTCCGCATTAAATTTTGGGAAATTTCAGGCTGGCCAATTTGACTTTTAATTGATATCTTTTCAAAAACAAATTAAATATAAAGGTCCCATTTCAGGATTTCACCACCAAAAAATAAAAACTAGTCAGCCCCGGTGATTTTTTTAACTAGGGTCTTTTAAGGTCGAAAAAATAAGTATTTTATATTACAATATTTATATAATATTGGGGGAAAATTTCGAAATCCACTTTTTGGCATTTCCTGGCAATATTTTTGCTGGATGTCAAAAGGAAATCTAATCGATTTTTGAAATCGAAAAAACATAGTTTTTTTTATTAATGTTTTTAATTTAATTTTAGGGGAAAATTTCGAAATCCAATTTTTAGCAATATCTTAATTATATGTTAAATAGAAAATTAATCGATTTTGAAATATTTTTTTTAAAAATATATTAGGGCTGGTAATTTAATATTAGAGGAAACATTTCGAAATCCGGTTTTTGTTTTTATTTTTATTACTACAATTTAAAAGGAAATCGAATCGATTTCAAAAAAGAAAAAATAATATTTAATATTAGGGTTTTTTAATGTAATATTAGGGGAAAATTTCAAAATCCGATTTTTGATCATATTCTAATTAGATTTCAAAAGGAAATCTAATGAATTTTGATATAAAAAAATAGTCTTTGATATGAGGGTTATGAGGGTTTAATATGAGGGGAAAACTTCGAAATCAAATTTCTGGCAATATCTTAATTTTAATTTACAAGGAAATCTAATCGATTCTGAAATAGCACAAATTTCGTTTTTTATATTGGAATTTTTCATGCAAGATTAGGGGAAGCATCGAAATCCAATTTTTGAACATATTTTAACAATTGGATTTTAATTTGATATTAGGGGAAAGCTTCAAAATCATTTTTTTGTTTTTTTTCATTAGATTTCAAAAGGAAATCTAATCGATTTTGAAACAGGAAAAAAAACAAAATGATATTAGGATTTAATATAAGGGAAAAGCTTCGACATCCAATTTTTTGGCCATATTTTATTTAATTTTTAAATGGAAATCTAATCGATTTCGAAATAGAAAAACATACATAATTTTTTTGTGTTGGGGATTTTTATTTGATATTAAGCTTCGGAATCCACTTGTTTGCCATATTTTAATTGGATTTAAAAAGAAAGAAATTTGATCGATTTTGAAATAGAAATATGTATATATATATATATATGTGTGTTTTTCATCAGTATTAGGGGGAAGCTTCGTACCCTAATACTAAAGACCCCCCCAATACTAAAAACTCCTCCAGGTGTTTGTTATTTGGGTGGGTGGGTGAAGGGGCGACTGTTTAGCAACAGGGGGAAGGGATTAAACCGTTTTTGTTTCTAATTTCAAAATCCATGAAAATAATCTTTAAATAGAATACTGCCAAGAATAGGATTTCGAAGCTTTCGCCTAGTATCAAATAAAACACCAACACCTGAATTAAAAAAACTAAAATTAACGATTTTAAAGGACGGACCCCAATAAAAGACACCCCGATGTTGACTAGTTTTTTATTCTTTGGGGGTGAAACCCTCACATGGTACCTTCATTTTAAAAATTGTTTCCTCAAGGGGATCAATCAAAAATCAGATTAACCAATTTGACATTTCCCAAAATTGGAAATCGCACCTAGTTTTTGTCATTTGGGGGTATTTTTCGTAATAGGGAGAAAGGATTAGCAAAAAGAATGCCTGATCAAAATGATGCTGATTCTGTGTGTTACAATCTTTTTGCCCACTACAGTGTCTACAGGGTTACAAGGGATGCCGTGCCAGCTAGAGTCCCAAGTCCATTCAACCAACACCCTAATCGATGAAGTTGGACTTGTTGAAATGGAAGTGGGACTGGACCAGTTGATATGGGGCGATGCTGACCTTCAACGGGAGCTCCGGCGCCTGAAGGACAACAATTTGAAAATTCCGAACCTGAAATATATTTTCAAAATTGCCTTACTAAGAGTGATCCCCACCCTGACACACTATTCTGACATAGTTTCTGACAATCTTTTCTGAGATTCTATTTGACATTCTTTCTGGCATCCTATCTGGCATCTATTCTGACATACTTTCTGGAATATACTATATTCTGATCCTGCCTTGCCATGAGTTTGGGCTGGGAGTGCTTTTATTTGCAAGGATCAATGCCAATGGCTTGAATATCCACCAAATGTTGGTTTCACATGTTTGCACCCAATGATTGCCATTACCATTGATACCCCAAAATGGCCAGGTCCTGAATTTGAGAGTAGGTCCTGAAAAGTTTTCTGGGTACTGAAAAAAGAGGACTTTGGCACAGGGTCTGAAAAAAGACGTAGGTGGAAGATTTAGGTATGCTGTTGGGTTGCAAAGCTGGGTTAATATAATAATGTTATATAATAATGTTATATATATATATACATAGCTACCATGATGCCATAGATCTGAGGCACTGGAGCGCAGTGTCTCGTCCGAGGCGATGGGGGGTTCCAGAGTCATGGGGCATCTCCGAAATGGTTGGTTTATAGTGGCAAATGGCTGGTTTATAGATGGTTTATAGATGGTTTATAATGGAAAATCCGATCTAGAAATGGATGATAATTAGGGGTAGCTCCATTTTAGGACACTTCCATATGAGGATGAGGATGGAGAGGAAAGGAGAAGCTTCGTGAGGGTGACGACACCCGAAGAGACACAGCTCGTGGAAAGGTGGAACGTGCAGAAAAAGCCAAACGTCAATCTCTCAGTGCCGCTGCGGATTGAATCTTTGCCAAACTGCCCTGCACTCCTTGTCACTTAACTTCATAAGTGTACAGGAAGTAGGCTCTTTGCCAGGCAGATGGTTTGGTGGTTCTCCGGTTCATTCCACCAAAGCAGAGTTTGAGTGAAAGCTGTCGTTTCCTTCTCGCCGCTGTTACTTGTGGCTCAGAGTCTACGCAGTCAGGGAAAGCTGGTGGCGTAGACGTAACCAACCGACCGAAAGGCGGGCCCCAAAACAGATTGGTACGGAATGCATGGGTGCTGCAGTTGGACTGCACTTTCAATGGCTTGACGATGAAATGACACCATGACCAGAGTTTCCTTGAGACCCAGGACACCTTTAACACAGTTTACCACATTGTGAAAGTCACCACTTTGTGATTGCTCGGTGATACTGCCACACCATGAGGCGTGATATGGGCTGTTTGCAAAGCTCTGGTGAAGTGGTGAAGACTCCACGTGCTGACATGCCTGCAGGCTTCCTGCGTCGGGTGTCTTGTGCCGGTGTAAACTGTTCATCCCTGTTCCCCGATGGGACTTCAATTCCGTCCCTAGAAAGGCTCAGTTTTTTCAATGTTTTGGTGATGGTCAGAAAGTGAAGATATAGGATATATAGGTTTTATCCGATTTGAAGATATTTGAATAGTTTCATCATGGTGTTTCATCTCACATCTTGGGTGATAGCAATCCCAATGACTTCATAACTGGTTGGTGGTTTCAACCATTTTTTTTAAATTTTCCATTTCATATATGGGATGTCATCCGGAACCCATTGACGAATTCATATTTTTCAAGATGGTGAAATTGCACCACCAACCAGGTTATTATTAACCATCACTAACCATATATTGACCATCATTAACAGTATATTAACCATATTAACCACATATAATAGCCATATATTAACCATATATTAACCATGGCGTACGCAACGCTTCCCAACGCGCAACGCGCCTTTTTAGGAAGTGGGGAGCCGGCGAAGTACGGCGGCCGCGATGCCGATCCAGAGAAGCCCATTGTCATGGGCAAGTGACCGCTTTTGCGGGGCCCTGCTGAGCCCTGGACGGGGCTCTGGACGGGGCTGGTGACAAAGTGGTGGTTTTGAGCCCTGGGGGATTCACCAGGTGACAAAAAAAAGATGGTTTTTATGATGTTTAATGATGGTTATACCAATATCATACTAATATCATACTATTATCATACTAAGATGTTGAATTGGGGAGAAGATGATAAAATATGAATTTGATCAGGTCCCATTTTAAGACTGGTTTGTGGTTTGGAACCATGGAATTTGATGACTTTCCATTCAGTTGGGAATTTCATCATCCCAACTGACGAAGTCATATTTTTCAGAGGGGCTGAAACCACCAGCTAGAAGATGTTGAATTGGGGATTGAGAATATGATAGAATATTGATAGACCATCTTTCAAGGGGGGAAATTGGTCTTTGATATATATATACCATCTGGTTATTTGTCACATAGCCATGGAAAATCACAATTTTTAATGGGTAAACCATCTATAAATGGACCATTTTCCATGGCTATGTTAAATAACCAGAGGATATATAGACTAGATATATGTTTTGGGCCGTACCTGATCAGCATCCGCCAGGTACAGAATGAGTATGGCCAAGAATGACCTTCTTGGTGAGGGGTCCTCATCCATTTGTCGCAAGGCGGAGCTTGAAGCTGCAGCTGTTATGCCCCGGAACTGATTTCGTGATGTGTTCCTTTTCCTTCGTGGGGTCAGCATTTTGATGTTGCGTTTTTTTTAATCACCCCTTCAAATGGAGTCAAGTCCGAGTTTATCCAGTCCAACTTATAGTCAGACATAGATTTATTCCGAGTTCATCCAATTTACAACCGAGTGTCTGCCTTGGCCCACTTCCAAGCAGATCTGCCCAAAATCTGCCCAGGGCATCGACCTTGAGACAGGTCAAGATCCTTTGGCAGAAATAGGGGGCTCCAAGTCGTCACATGGTGGTTCCAGGTGGGTTCTAGCCATTGGATTTACTGCGGCTAGTGGGAGGAAGATTTATCAGAGCATCTTAGTCATGGAAAATTACCCATCCTTCTCTGTTCTCCCCATTGTGTTGGTGTTTGACCATGTCAGCCCTCGGTACTGTATCGTCCCGAGTATTCCGAAGTGGTTCATGGACTTGGAACCCAGGAAGTGGCAATTAAAGTCTACAAGACTGCGACGAAGTCGGTGAATAGCTCTGAGGACTCGTTTTATCATTCTTTAATGCCCCTGACTATCTCACATTCCCTATCCAAAATACTTCAAACTACTGTAGTAAGGTATCAATAGTTGATAGAAAGGTGTGACTTTTTGCTATCGCTCCTTTCAAAAACCCAAAGTTGAGCCCACAGGAGATTCGCCTTCAGAAATTCAAGAGGCAAATCCAAGTCCTGAAGATGTTGGAAGCTCAGTAGCTTTCGGCCCTAGGCGGCCAACTAGCAACAATCAAGCCAACAGGAAAATGCCCATGTTGAATGGGAAAATTAAAAGTATGTGTACATATATATATATATATATACATACATATATATATATACAATATATATATATATATAGAATACTTTAAACATGTTATTTACACATGGATATCAATGTGTGGAAAAAAATCACCATTGCCAGATTCGCAGAGGGTTTGCAGTGGGGGTGGCTTCGCTGATTTCGCTGAGGTTACAGGAGCCTTTCACACCACCGAAGGATGAGACCCTGTGGCACGGCGATTTGGCCAAAGCGACCCCCTCCAAGCTCTTCATGATGTTGGTGGACTACTCTAAGGCGTGGACTCTCACGTTTGATTTTTTTTTTTTTTTAACATGTAAAAAACATGTTTTTTACATGTTAAATCAAGAAGTTTCGTATCAAATTCTTGTGTCGCTCTCGTGTTTGAATGTGCATAATTTTTGTGCATTTTTGAATGGATCATTCATCATGGATCTGGTGGGAAAGGCTTTGAACCTGGTCAAACCCAGGGTACCCAGGCAGCCAGCGCCACATGTCGATTTTGTTCAGGATGCCAAGGGAGAACCTGCTCCTGATACTACAGATGGGGTGATGTATGTCATCACCGAAGTTGCACAATACAGTCTGAAGGACCGATGGAATTGATGTGGCTGTCACCCTGATTTCGAAAAATGTTGGCACATCCAAAATGGTGCTGTTTTTGGAGATGGGACGCTGAGATTTGCCTTTCAACCTGTGAATCCATGGAATGGTCACCATTTTGATCCGATTTTCATAACTGGTGGGATAGGGTTGCCACTGGAATCGAAACACGGTGGAACAGTCGCAGATTTCGGACCCATAATTGTAGTTGTGTGTTGCTTGTTGGTATACCATTTAATGCTCAAATTTAATGATTTGGTACATGCTGGATAGATGAAATATGGATGAAATTATATTAAATTCTTGTGAGCCAAGCAGTACAAATCTCGTTTAGGCCGCAACACCATGTGCTTAGCCATGAACCGCAAAAATTAGGGGCATGTGCCAAAGTTGGACACCCCATCATGGCCAAAACTTCCGAAACCTGGTCACACGCCGGTGCCATCCTGGGCGTGACACCGATGGCATTTTGGCTAGCCACGGGTGCCACGGGGTAGACTGCGCCACTCTGGGGGCTACCTTTAGTGGGATGGCCACTCGAAAGATGAACGAGGCGACGGACCAGGTCGATGGACGAAGGGAATTCAGTGACCAGTGATAGAATGTTATAAGTCCATATAAGTCCTACAACAGTAGCATGGTTTGCAACCTTCATCAACCTTCTCTTTCGCAACTGTCCTGGTGTTACTCACATTCTGTAGACAACTCTGTTGCGCGCCAGGTGAAGAATGAGCTGCGGAGAATCCCCACGGAGCTGCGTCAGGGCCCTCGGAGAGCTTCGCAAGAAGAAGAAATGGCGAGATGCACTGGACACGCCCCAGTTGGGGCATGGTATGGCATGGTATGGCATGGTATGGCATGGGTTCAAGCTGATAGCGAGAAGCCTTTGCAGCAGAATCTTGTGGGCTTGTGGATCCGACAAAAGTATCAAAGCAAAAAACGTGTGTTTGATTTGTGTTTGATTTGTGTGATGTTGATGTCATGGGCTGTTCAAAAGTGCATGGAGGATCATGCAGGAAATCCTCCCGTGCCCGGCAGGATCTTTTCCGTTGTATGGGGCATCGCTGGCTGGAACGCAACATCATTTGCGTCGGTGCTACGCTGGGCTGTCTGGAAGCACCACGCTGGACTTGGGGGTTGCAGCTTCTGCGACAAGCAGAAGGAGAGTCGTTGGAAATCAGCCACTCGGTTGATAGGTTTGGGGAGTGATTTGGAGAGGGAAATCAATTTGTTGCGGGAATAAGTCTACAGCGAAGAGAGTTGCCCTTTCCAAGACGCGGAACATGGGAATGAGAAGAGTGGAACCCTGTCACCGAAGTAGTGCTCACAATGCGCAATTGACGTGTGTATGGGTGAACGAATGCAAATTGAGCCGAATGGAAATTGAAATTGTTGCTTGCAACGTCCTGATTCAGATAGTACACAAACTTTGCACAACACCGCACGCGCTTGCTTTTCCTTTTCTCAGGTCACGTCACCATCAACTGCGCCATCTCCATTTGCGAGTGCCACGACAGCATCAGATGGCAGGGGACCTGCAAGGCGCAACAAGAATTCCTCCCAGTGCCAGTTCGAACCAGTTTGAAGCGATTTGACGCATTATTCTGATGCCATTGTGCCGTAACTGCCGTAGCTTGTGTCTCCTGCACGGCTTAGGAAAGGCCGCGCGTGGCGTTGTGGTTTTCAGCTCTTGGATCTGGGCATCGGCTGCATCGGCTGCGGCCACATCAGCGTCGCCCGGGAGCAGCACCTGGTGTCGTGCAACGCAGCGCTGAGCGGCCTCAAGGGCCTCGATGCCGCGGCCACAACGGCAGCCATGTGGCACAAAGCGATCGCGTTGCTGCACAAAATGCATCGAGGTACCCTGTTCTGCGGCGCATGCTGTAGGGAGTTCAAAAAAGGGGTTGGAGGCTGGTGCTCCTTTGATGCAAAAACTTGGAACAACCGCTTGAAACACTATTGAAACACTATTGAAACACTTGCTCACACACACACACACACTTATACAGTAAAAATCTTGTTCCAGCCCTGATATTTAGTTGATCTCAACGTGACGGCTTCAAATTCTTTTTGCGAAATGCTCCCAGATGGATTTGTCGAGCCTGACGTCGTTTCTTTCGGCACGGCCCTGCGGGTATTGGCAGATTGCGACTCCGTACAGCAGTGGCAGCAATCACTACAACTGTTCCAGGAGGCCAGGGTGCCCCAGATTTGGCTGTGATGAGTTTTCACCCTGGAAAATTGCGGTGTCACTTGGTGCCACTATACACTTTAGAGTTGTACAACACAGACACTCCTTGTCAGTCATGCCCCTGGGAACAAAAAGTCGATCATGGGCCTTGATAAATCTTGTGAACGAGGGGTATAATATGCACTAATGTATACTAATGTCACATTGTGCAAACATTTTTTTTCATTTTTTTTTCACAATTGGATCAGAATCCACTTGAAGTTGTGAAGATTTATGATGAATAGCACTGAAAGGCATTGAACCGCTTCACTTTTCCATGCTTTTCATCGAGTTTTCATCCTGTTTTGCAGGTGTCGGCTCGGCTACTCGAACCAGGTGGGCACATCTTCACAGCTTTGAGCCTGAGCTTGGCCACTTTGTGGCCTCGTGCTCTGGCGTCCCTGCCACGCCACGCCGATGTGACGACGTGCAACGCGGCCCTGGCCGCATGCGGGGCGGACGGGGCGGACGGGGCTGGTTGGCAAGCGGCGCTTGTGATCCTGAAGACGTTGCAACAGGAGAAGGTGGCAGATGTGATCAGCTATACCACTGCTATCAGAGACTTGGAACTAATATTAACCAAGGACCAATGATTTTTTTTGGGTGTAGCTAGTGAATAGTGACTAGTGCAGAGTGGAATTCGATGGAATTCGTAGGAGCCTTGAGAAATGCCTTGAAACTGTTTAATTTCAAGTTATGGTGTTGCCCTGTTGTCAAGTGCACCAGATTCAAATCGTGATAGTGAATCGAGATGTTGTACTGGTGCCATTGAGCTGGGCAGACCTGTCCAGATTCTATCGGTAGATGTTGCCCAAAACCACATCATTTGTTGGATCACGAACGAAGAAGTGCCAGCCCTGAGTTGCATAGATGGGGTAGATGTTTCGATATAGATCCCCTAGATATCCCTAGATCATGATGGCTTCTTTGGCGCTGGCAAGAACTTCCACAGACATCACAGACTCATTTGAAAGGTACGATCTGAGAATCCGTTGCAGTACACATTCCCAACATATCCAATACCTGCTGGTAGTATGCCGCACTGGCCGTCCTAGGCGCTCTGTCGAAGCAACACTGGCAGCTGGCTTTGCACCTTGTTGCTGAGTTGCGATCTGCAAGACTGTGACTCGATGGAAGATATCCATGACGGTGTTCCAAGCGAGGTTCATGGCACGCTTGGCCTGTTTGAAGAGTCGGAAGAGTGTCAAAAGCATGCCAAAGCTTCTTGCTGGTGAAAAAACCTATCTTTTTCGGATCAGCAAATCCATGAGAATCATTTGAATTCATTTGATCATCCACGACTGTTTTTTTGATGTCATGCACCTCAAATTGTACGACAAGTTGCCTCAGAGTTGGATGCACCAAACTCTGAGGCGTTTGGATGTGACTTGCCTCGCCTCGGCTGCAGCATGTCAGTCATGGGAAAGAGCCATTCAGCTGCTGCTGGCTGGAAGGTGAGGGCAATCAGATTTGCTGGCTGGGATGGTTCTAGTCATTTTGAGTCATTTTTAGTCCTAAAATAGGTGATTCTATTTTAATTGTAATCTTTTCCAATCTGAATGTCTTCCTGGAGGGTGGCCTTTTTGGCGACCGGTCACTGGGGCACGACCGGTCACCGGTCACTTGAGAAAATTGAGGTCCTGGGCTGTCGCTCCAGATACCATCTGCTACAACCAGCTACTGGCCATTGCAGAGGCCGAGGACTGCCCCAAATCTCATTAAAAGAGGACCATTTTGGAGGTACCATCTGGTTATGACTAACATAATTAGCCATGGAAAATCACCATGAAATTAATAGGTAAACCATCTATAAATGGGCCATTTTCCATGGCTATGTTAAATAACCAGAGGGTATACTGAACCCACCGATGTGATTTTTGGAGTGGCGAAAGACAGTTAAACTGTTCAACATTGAAACACATCTTGGTTTGATGCAGCGAATTTAAAGGAGCAGTGGATGGTGGCAACTTCACTGCTGGAGTGCAACGTCGATGCACAGAAGTAGATAGAATGAGTTGTTTGTCATCCACCAATCCGCCGTTTTCAAAGTTTCCAGCGGACAGGCATCAACACAGCGAAAATATACTCAGGATTTCATTCATATTGATAGCTCAGCACTGTGGGTCCTCACATCCTAAGAGATTTGATCACGGCCCCAAGATGCGTTGCGATGATGATTTGGGACAGCACGCGGACTGGACCCTACTTACTTTATCTCTTGTCAGATCATATCATTTCAATCCAAAAGGATGAAATCGATCCAGATCCAGCTGTTCTTCGTTTGAACTTTGTTAAGCAATGCTAAGCAAGCTGGCCTCCCAGGCTTGCAGGGTAGCAGCTGTTTGGCAGATGTGGTGAGCTTCAACAGCGCCATCAGTTCCATGCAGAACCTTGGATGGCAAGTGCTAGAAGTGCCAGTAATTTCTACAACCTGATCGCTGTTCCCCTGTTGGAATTGCTTTGATTACCCCATCCGCGGCATCATCATTGAAGAAATCAAAGAGTGTCACTCCGCATTGCTTCTTGTGCGCAGAACAGCATGATGGCAAGTGCCACTTCAAATTTCGGATCTCAGCCTCTCAGCTGACTCAGCCTTACAAGACATTTCACGTTTAGAGATCAATGGTGTCACCTGTCACCGAAACAACATCTGATTTTAGGAAGGCTCGAGCCTGGACCCGAGCCTTTCAGAAGATGTGCCTTGGTGCAGGATGCTGCGGCTGTCGGGTTCAGGGGACCGGGCCAGACTTTGTCAAGTCGTTGAATTTGGCTCGGCCGAGTTCGTCAAATGATCCATGTAAAAGGCATATCGCAGATCTGTTTCGAATTCTTTCGACATGTTCAGAAGGTTTGCCGGATCCACCCGACCTGCTTCAACTTTGGATTATAGAAGAACATGAAAAACCCAGGTGCGCCCTTCGAGTGGCACCGCTGCAGCCGGATGTGGTGACCTTCAGCGCTTTGGTGAGTGCCGCGGAAAAAGCCCAACGCTGGAGCTTAGCCACGCAGCTGCTGGGAGGTCTCCGATGGTGGGAGAAGATTCCGACGGAAGATTTTTTTTAAATGAAATGACAAATTGGCTGATGATTAAACTTTTTTGAAATGATGAATATTGATGATTTAAAGCATATCTGAAGGATTTTGAAAGCACAGTCTGATCTTTTCCTCCCAAGACCACTGTGTCAGGTTGGTCTCCGGGCTTGGTGGCCTTCAATGCTGCCATGGCCGCTTGTGAGAAGGGCCTTGGCTGGCGTCCGGGCCTGGAGCTTCTCCACACCATGAGGAGGTGGTTTTTGGTGAGCTGAAAACATCTTGAAACAGCGTTTGACTATAGAGAACTTGTCAAGCTTGTCAATCCAGGATTGATGAAAACTGTAGTTTGGGAAGGATAATCCATGATAATCCCAAGATATCCTGGGATGGGATAGCTTCAAGACATTGCAACATGTTGAACCTGTTCACATGTTGCAATTCCAAGGGATTTTTCAGTCTGTGGGACCAGGCGCCAGCTGAAACCAGACGCCACTAGCTTCATTTCCCTGATTGCCTGTGCTGCAAGAAGCACTGCCTGGGAGATTTCTGTAATGCTCTGGCAGGCCACGCCATTCGCCGATTTTCATGCGGCTTGCTGTGCAATACTGTGCAATGCTGTGTACACTGTACCCATTGATCTCGGAGCTGCAAAGTACAGAGTTCTAGTTTTGAGTTGAACGTCGCAGGATTTGGATGCCCATCTTCGGTTGTCAGCTTCACAACGTTACTCCCTGATGCTGGCCTATGAGTCACTACTGTCTGCCTACGTGCTCGTGGGGCAAGGGACACACGCGGCCTCGTTGATGGACAGCATTTGTGAAGAAGGCACGGCAGAAAACATGTGGATGACTAGATATGACTAGCGATTGCAGCGCAGACAAAGGCTAAAGCCCTAGAGAGAATCAAGCGGCGGTTTTGCGGCCAAAGAACAGCCAGACTCAGCTCAGCTTCAGCACCACTAAACTGGCGAAAATCTTCAGAACAGATGGTGTTGTAGGATCCCAGTAACAAAGTGTTCGCAAAGGAACAAAGGAACCATCAGAAAGCAGCGGCACTGACACAGCCAGTCCTCAGCTTGCCATCCTGCAGGTGCATCGTTGCTCTCCAAAACACCCTGGTGATGCCTTGATAGTTGGATCATTCCTTGGAGATTGGACACTTCAGTTTTCTTCCACGGTTTGATCGTTTGCAGATAGCAGATGGCATAGAGGCAGTGGCGTATATATATATATACACATATATTAATGTATACGTGTATATATATAACTATATAATATTATATAATTATATATATAACTATGTTATATATATATATACACAATATACTCCTTGGCAAGTGCTAAAGGCTCTTGAGCCGAGGTTGAATCCCCTTTGTTTCACAGCAGCTCTGAGTGCAAAGGGCGAAAAGATCTGCTGCGCAGAGTGCCACTGAGATCAATGAAGCAACGGGATCTGATGGGATTTGATGAGATCTGGGTGCAACATTTATCTGGCCAAATATCTTGAACAAGCACCAAAACATACCAAAACTGAGCCCAAAACTGACTGGATATCCACATCAACAATCATCAACAATCACCCATCTGCCCATCCGTCTGCATAACCAGTTGGTCGCCCAAAAGGTCGTCGGTTTTAACGCGTGGCCAAAAATGGCAGGATTACTTTGCCCTGAAGCGCGAGAAGAACAAACCCCTGTCCCGCGAGTCGATCAAGGTCCCGAAACTGGAACTGGGTCCCGATCACTGGATAAATTAGATCATCAGGTCGCCCAAAAAATAGTCAATGTCTCAGCACTAATTACTATATATTATTAGGTTTCATATGGTTTCATACTGTAACAGAAATTGAGTCAAGATCTATTAAGATATCATGAGGTGCTATGACAATGATTCGTAAATACAGCACATATCAATCTACATCTGCCATCCGCGACTACCCGACCTCTGTAGGCGTGTGCCCGTGCCATCATCTTGGTGGTTGCGGGTCTCCACGCGAAGGGCTTGGTGCACTTGGCATCTTGGCGCCTGAAGCCAGGGATCCGGATTCCGATTAGCACTCAGTGATTGTGGTAAAGGAATGAGGGTCAAAACTACCATCATTCCTTTACCACAATCATTGAGTGCTATTGGCTAATATTGCTATTGACTACTGCTTTCAAATTATGCTGGGCCGGGTTGAACGCCAAAGAAGTCATGAGTGCCGTGGCGCCTCAGGACCTGAAACCAGAGAATCTGATGATGTTCAACGGTCGCCTGAAGCTGATCGATGTGGATGGCTGTGTACCCATTGACAGCGAGGTGCTGCGAAAACCACATGCGGGATGGGGCCACGTGGACGACGGGATACGACGGGTTTCCGTTGCGGCTGGCTCCTGTCAGGTCTCGATCAATGACTCCTCCATTTCCTTCTCTCCATGCTACTGCGCACCAGAGTGGGCCAGGTGGGCTATGAATCATGGAGTATCATTGACAGTATCATTGAGTTCTGAATCCGAAGGCTTCAGGATGACATGCTTACTTGATCATTTTGATGTTACTCTACTTGATCTTATTTCAATGTCATCCTGATCATCCTGTTTCTGGCCTCGTTGGAAAAAGCTGCCTTTGACGTTGACGGGAAACGTCTGTTGCATTGCAGTGGGCATGGGTTCAGAGGGTCACTTCTTGTCGCAGGTTCCTCATTGACGAAGCCGAGAACAAGATCATTGCGCGGCCACACTTGGATGTTGCTGGACCGCACAGTGGCGTGTTATCCTTCTTCCATAGCAGACCCCAAGGTGCCAACTAAAATCATACCTTACACCCAAACCTTACATAGCTATGGAAAATCACCATTTTTAATGGGAAAATCCACTATAAATGGTAATTTTCAATAGCTATGTTAGTTTACCAGAGGGTACACCCAAACCTTCATGACAATTATGCCACAAGTCTTTGTTGTACTGCCACAGGTTTGGAGCATTGGCATCACGCTCTGCGAACTTGTCACGAATCTTGGCTTCAATGGCTGTTGCCTTGCCCGGTAAGTTCGAGAGGCTGCTGAGTTGCGAATTCTTCAGTATCTCACATACTATCTCCATCTTGTGATGCTGAGCATAGTTTTTCTTTGCAACTCTTTTTTGCCACTTGAGCCACGTTCTAAACCCTTGTGTTCATGTTAAGCAAGTGGCCCCTTGTAAGGGTGTGCCGTAAGCAAAACTGTGGTGCGCGTAAGCCAGCGCAAGCTCCGCGTAAGAAAAGATATGCGCGTAAGCAAAACCTGTGCGCGCGTAAGCAAAACGTAAGCAATGGCGTAAGCATTTCCTTATTTGGTGCCAGGATGTAAGACATTTAGAACATGGCTCACATAGGCATAGGATCAAATAGGATCACTCACTGATCGTTTTTTCAAAGTATTTCAAAGTCCTGGAACCTGAATAGCCATTGTCCGGTTTGTGGAGACTCTAAGGTTGGACGCGATTCTCAAGCCCATGTACGGCAACTTCTTGCGAAATGGTCACTCCCACAGAGAAGCAGGCCCGCTATCGCCAGTATCTCCTGGTGCGGTGACCATCACAGTGTTTGTGACGTTTGTGACCATGACCGCCTACCTGGCCAGGCTTCTTATTCATGGATTGGTTGGGACACATCACTCGCGCGCCCGTCCCCAAGAGCATCGAACGCTTCGACAAGGACTTCCACAAGCTCATCGTCTGGGGGCCCTGGGAGCCCTGGTGATCAGCAGCATGTCGCCCATTGTCGCCCACCGCTAATACATTGACATGGTTCATCAATGGCTGCCCAGGTGGATGGGCTGTTGGTCTGTGACCACGTGAAACGGAACCTTGGAAGATAGGCCAAGAAGGCCAACATGGGCCATTCCCGCCGGTCGCGGGGCGTTTTTTTTTGAGGGGTAACCACAACAAAACAACCAAAATCGCATCCAATACGGAAGATTGATGAAGATTGTCAGATGTCAAACCAGAAACAGTTCTTGAATAGCACATAATGGCACCAGAAAGTAACAACTGATGATGGTAAATGGTACCGACATCCGCTGGAACCTAGGAAGTCTTTGGCCCAGTGTCTCTCTGATCCCTACATCTTTGAGAGCACCGCCGGCGCCACTCAATCTGAGTTGCACGAGGGCGAGTGTCTCGTCGCAGGGGCTTTTTTTCCATGGTAAACCGGGCAGCGTGAAGTTCTGAAGGGTTATCTTGCCTCACCTGGCAGGCACTATTCACGGGTTGACTCGCTTGACTCGGTTGACTGGTCGTGAATTTTCTCAGGAAGGTACAACGCCAACACCGTCATCGCTTCGAAGATACTTCCAGCTTCTTGGAAGCAACTCAAGTAGACCAGCAGAGCTGGGCGTTCCATTCAGAATCTTCAGCACCGTGTAGTGGCTACACCGTGTAGTGGCTAAATTTTCTTGCACTAGACTTTACATGACTTTACAATCTATACATCATTTTACATGGGAAGTTTGGGAGCCAGGCAAAGCACCTTTGTACAAGGGCACGTTGTACAAGCTCAACACCGTGGCCTGGCTGTGGGGGTGTCGGGGATGGTGTCGGAATGTGTCGGAATCCATCGGACATCCATTGGAATCTGAGGATGGAAATCCTGACGATGCTGCTCACTGGCTGAAGCGCGACATGTGGGTTGCCTGCGATGCTTGGCTGTAAGAATCACAAAGATGGAAATGGCTGCTTTGCTGTAAGGACCCAGGATAAATCATTGATGTAATTGGGTGGTCGATCATCTCGACAGATTGAAAAACATGAGTGTGTTTCCCATATTTTTTCCACGATGTTTGATGCATCGCTTGTGCTTGTGAATCTGCGCGTGACCAAGATGTCTTTGTAGGTCTTCTCAGTCTGACATATAAATGAAGAATCTTGGCAGCCTTGCGCCACATATTGCTGGGGTTCACTGCGTCTCGGGCAAGGATGGCTCCTTGTGCTATTTCAGCATCAAGGAGAACAAGCGTTTGGTGCTCTTGGATGGCGTGAAGCTGGCTGGTGCGAAGGCAGCGAAAAAAACTTATCACCTTTTGGTCCTTTGGTCCTTTGGTGATGGAGATCGTGGAAAATGAATTTCCAAAGCTGATCAAAGCTGATCAAAGCTGTTTTGTCCATGATTTGCTGAGCACGACACATCCAGAAGCAGACCATTTATGATTTTTCACATTCGCCCCCACTTCCACTTCGAAGTGCACCTCCCCAAATCTCGAGGTGGAAAACATGACCAGCTCTGCTCGGCAGTTTGCCTTCAAGTTGGATTGCATCAACAGCGCAACTTGACGAAATCCAATGGGGTTGGCTGTGGTGGCTATGGTAGGCATTGTGGGGAACCCTCCGAGCATTTCGAGTTCTCAGTCGCTCCAGTTCTTTTTTCGCATCGACTGTGACCCGAGGACGACCACGAGCAGGACATTAGCATGTGCTTCTCTGCTGAGTCCGAGGCAGACTATGGGCCTCTTGGCATGACGTGGCTACGTGGCTATGACCTCCGGAGGATTTTAATCTAAATGGCAGTCAAAGGTGTTCAAGCAACCTGTCGTTGGATATTCCAAGAGTCAGATGAATGGTAAACCATGAGCATTTTGGAGCCTATCTTGAGCTTTTCATCCCGTGGCACTGACTAGAACATATCTGACTGGATTGGTTTAAGGATGTTTAAGTCTGTTTAAGATAAACTCTTAACCAGAAAGCATTAAAAATATGGCATAGATTAAAGAAGCAAATAAACCATGACTTAAATGTGGGCATTTCAACCGTCAACTTTCCACCATCGGATCGGGATCGAAAACCAGGAAGTGGCGATCCTTGCTGTCCCAAGCCACCAATTTGGATGGTGCTATGCAGACCATCCGCTTGGGCGGTGCTGTGGCAGATGAGCTCAAGCAGTTCAGGTGACGGCACGTGACGGCTGAGATGGATGGAACATCATGATGGATCCGGCTACCCCAATAAAAATGTCAACCTTGGTAGCCTTAGTAGGGAAATTACCCTCTGGTAATTTAACATAACTATGGAAAATCACCATTTTTAATAGGAAAATCCACTATTTCTATGGCCATGTTCAATAGCTATGTTCAATTACCAGAGGGTATCAATGAACATGATTGTTTTAACAATGGATTTTTCATGGATTTTTTCGACAGCTTACAATCAACGCTGCATCGGGTTGGGCCCTCTGATCCCACTTACAAGGGCTGGAAGCTGTGCCGGTGATGGCATTGACATCTGGGAATTTCCTGTATAGTTGCAGCCTGGATTGCAGATCCACTTTGGGATATTTGGATATATATATATATTAATATATGTATATACACATCTTATATTTTTTTGGGCTATATTTGGGATATCTGCTGACCAGCTCTCTGCTTACCAGGCTGGCAGTGAAGAATCGTCGTATGAAGGTGGGAGAAGATGCCAAGGCCAAGAGATCGGCAGTTGTGGCAGTGGAAGTTTCAGAATGTTTCAGATACCCCCTGGTAAACATACATAGCTATGGAAAATGACCCATTTATAGATGGTTTACCTATTAAAAATGGTGATTTTCCATAGTTATGTTAGTTTACCAGAGGGTACCCGGCCTGGTAAACATACAAAAAGCTATTGAAAATGGCCATAGAAATAGATTGATCGTTGATTTAGCCATTAAAACATGTGATTTTCCATGTTTTTTTTTGTATGTTTACCAGAGGGTACCTTGCTTTTTCCAGCGGGAATAACTGGGAATAGTGTGGACTGGGGAGTTTTTCTCAGTTTCACTGGCCAAAAATCAAACACCAATCGACCAAGACTTCGATCTTGTCCCAAGACTTCGATCTGCCAGGACCAGTTCGAGCCTGTCTTCAAAGCCAAGCTTTGGAAGGTTAAAGCTGAAGGCATGGCTGGGGCAGTGTGCGCAGTGTGGAAATGTGTGGAACCCAAAAAAGGGACCAAAAACATCCGAGAGTCGCCATTTTGAGAATGGGACAAGCGCTCTTCAGAGCGCTTCCCAAGCAGAAAAAAAACCTCACAAGGCATCACAAGACCCAAAGCAAATTATTTCTTCAACCTTTATTGCAGTTTGTTTGGGGCGAAGTGCTCCAGGCGAGCGAAAGAAAGAGGGTGATTGGTTTGAGCGCGAGATGTGGATCGCCAAGAACGGCCACTCTGCTAATCCCTTGGAACCTGGAACCTGATCATCTACAGAGGGCATCAGGTCCGATCAAGTATGTAAGTATGCAGTGCAGGGATCCAACAATTTCTTTCTTGATGTTGGTTTGGCTGGTTGTGTATCAATTAGTTGTTCTGCTTTGCTGTTTGTCGAGCTCCCTGGTCCCGGTCCCAGTTCTTAGTCTTGGGCTGGATCGAGAGAAATCAGGGCGGCAAGGCACACTTGTAAGCATAGTGTGAAAAAGACATAAACCTGTGTATGTATATATATATATAAGCTATATATATAAGCTATATATATATTATATAAGCTATATATATTATATAAGCTATATTTACATAAGCTATATTAATATATATATAAGCTATATATATATTATATCTATATCAATATCAATATATCCATAAATCTGTATATCTATATATCTATATATCTATAAAGCTACAAATCTATATATCTGTATATCTGTATATCTATATATCTATATATCTAAATATCTGTACATATCTATTTATCTCTATATATATCTCTCTCTATATATATATACACCTATATCTATTTATTATATATTATATAGATCTTATATTTCATAGTTTGTTCTTTATATTATATATTTTATATGTAACATTTTTTTTACATTATTATGTACTATATATTACATGTAATATTTTAGATATTATTATATATATATATATATGTAATATATCACATATTATATATGTAGTAAATCACACACATATATATATATATAATTTATTGTTTTTTTTTAAACAATTCTATATTATATATGTTATATTAAACATTATATACCATAATACATATATATATATATATCATATATCACATATATAATATATATTATATATTTTTAAATTATATGTTAAATATGTTGTATATTATGTATGATGTAATATGTATTATGTATTTTATGTATTATATATATAATACCATAAACAGATAATATTTAATATGTAATATAAAAAATAAAATATAATGTGTAATATATACTATGTAATATATATTATGTAATATATAGTATAATAAAGAATATACAATATATAGTATATAATACATTATCCATAATAATAATATATAAATATGTATTATTTGACATATGATACATGATAAATAATATATAATACGTAATATATATAATATAAAACATATAATATATGTTATATAATATATAATATTTAATACATAATATTTTATATTTTATACATTTTATTCCCGAATGCGTAGCGAAGGGATTCCGTTTATAGTCTGGGGGTCTGGGGGCTGGACCCTTGTTCGCCTCCAGTTGCTCGTCGGGTCGCCGTCGCGTCGTCGTGGCGTCGTTAATTCCGTGTCTATGGGGGAAGCTGCAAAACCTCTCCTTTTCGAACGTTTCCACGCAGCTTGTCATGTCGTTTTGCGTAGCAGGCTTTGTGACAGGCTTTGTAGAATGTGGTGGAGTGCGGAGTGTTGTGGAGTGTGGAGTGTGGAGTGTAGTGTGTGGAGTGTGGAGTGAGGAATGTGGTGTGTGTAGAGTGTAGAGTGTGGTGGAGTGTGGAGTGATGTGGAGTGTGGAGTGTAAAGTGTGGAGTGTGGAGTGTAAAGTGTGGAGTGTAAAGTGTGGAGTGAGGAGTGTAAAGTGGAAAGCGTGGAGTGTAAAGTGTATAGTGTGGAGTGTAGAGTGTAAAGTGTAGAGTGTAAAGTGTAGAGTGTAAAGTGTGGAGTGTAAAGTGTGCAGTGTAAAGTGTGGAGTGAGGAGTGTAAAGTGCAAAGTGTAAAGTGTAAAGTGTGGAGTTTAAAGTGTAGAGTGTGCTGGTGCTTTCGTTGTGCTGGTGATGTTGTTGTGCTGGTGATTTCGTTGTGCTGGTGATTTCGTTGTACTGGTGATTTCGTTGTGCTGGTGATTTTGTTGCGCTGGTGATGTTCGCTGGTGCTTCGTTGTGCTGGTGATTTCGTTGTGCTGGTGATTTCGTTGCGCTGGTGATTTTGTTGCGCTGGTGCTTTTGTTGCGCTGCTGAGTTCGTTGTGCTGGTGATTTCGCTGTACTGGTGATTTCGTTGTGCTGGTGATTTTGTTGCGCTGGTTATGTTCGCTGGTGCATTCGTTGTGCTGGTGATTTCGTTGCGCTGGTGATTTTGTTGTGCGGTGCTTTCGTTGTGGTTTCATTGCGCTGGTGATGTTGTTGTGCTGATGGTGATTTCGTTGTGCTGGTGGTGATGTTGTTGTGCAGGTTACAGTAGTTGTCTCTTTGTGAACTGCATGTCAAAAAGGTTCGTTTTCCAATTGCAGAGGTTTGCGCTCGTAGTCCAAGAACGTGAATACATTGGGGTTCGTGGCTTCAATCTTGTATTTTAAATTTTGTATTTTTTTATATAATACATAAAAATTAATATATAATATATAATATATCATATACATATTATATTTAATATATAAAATATATTATATATATAATATTTAATACATTATATATAATATATACTATATAATATATAATACTTTTATATAATATATAATATATAATATATAATGTATAATATATAATATATAATATATAATATATAATTATATAATATATAATTTTTAATATACAATTTATATTATAATTTATTTAACATATAATATCAAAGTATAATACATATGTATGTATGTATGTATTTTACTTTGATATCATAGACACTCACACGCAAAGGGATTGCTTCCTGGGAGAAGCTAGAAGTGACCGCACTTAGAGCTATGTCAGCTAAAACCAAGGCAGCTTGGTGTACTGGAGCAAGAAGGAAGAGAGTCACTTGGTGGATTCTGATGAGCTTTTCGGAGGTTGTGCAATGTGCAGGGGCAATGTGCAGGGTAGGGATTTGTTGGCTTCTCCACTACACGATGCACCAGGAAGCAAAGCAGGCCCACCTTTCATGGACCGTCCATCTGCCTGATACCATATTTCACGTGATGCTGATGCTGACGATAAGGAGAGTTGGTATACTACACCGCTGATGACATTTCCCAAGCAAAGTTCGTCTTCCTGGAGAAAGAGGATGCATTCCACCCGTCGCTTGGTGTGAGAGCAGAGATTGAACAGCAGGGTGGAAGGTTTCCGCTTGACCATAAACCCTCTTTGACATTTTAGCATTCCATTCATTTAATGTTCATTTTGAATACGCTCCTTGCTATCCCATCCTTGACAGCTGTCAGCCACGACAGGTGGGCCTTCCAGGTTCAGTTGGCCCCGAACAGCGGCGTGGAATTTGCCCCCGGAGAATTTGCTGCCGAATCCGAAGCCATGCGCGATCGCTGCTTGGAACAACTGGGTGAGGCTATGGATTTGGAGAGTTGGAGAAAATCTGTATTGTGAATATTTAGGGGGTCAGTTGAAAGTGAAATCTTGAGATGGGACATATTTGGGCGCTGGGGACTCACGACTAAATACAAGATCATGATGGCTGATGGAAGCTGGACCATTCGCGCACAGAGTGACCTCCACTTTTTTGTTGGAAACTTCCTCCACCTTCACAGTAGGTGCTGTTAACCTCAACAAAAGAATCCAAAGGATCACCAAAGGTCAACGGGCAACATATCTCGACTTGGAACATGTTGGGGGAAGAGTAGATCTTTCATGATCTTTCAGCTTGAGCTTCAGCAAAGTTCAAAAAAGGTTGGATTTCAGAGATGACCAAGTTCAAGCACGGCTGAGAGGCGTGCATATTCAGCCCCGACGGCGGGGCGTCTCCGAGTATATAACATCTGACTTTTTGATCTTTTCCGTGTTTTTTTTGATATGGATTCAATATGTTTCAACACATAAAACAAGAACTGATAGCCCACGGCTGAAATTTAAGATGGAATCTGACATCGATGAACTGATTGTATGTGATTGTATGATGTTTTGGTGGAAAATCACTATTTTTAATGGCTAAATCAACTATAAATGATGATCTTCTTGCTTCAATGCTTAGCACAACCTGGAGAGATTTATCCCGATGTATCCAGATGTGTTTTGACTCTTTGGCGCACCGGCAGCTGCTACGCTGAGTCAACACGAGCTGCAGGCAGCAGGTGCTTTCACTTACTGCCAAAGCTGGAGGGCCGAGGGGCAACAGATTCTCCCCGTAGTCTTATAATTACATATATACTGTGTATATATATATAGTGTATATATATATAGTGTATATATATATATAGTGTATATATATAATATACATATGTTGTATAATCTCACTATAATCTGACATCATCTGCGTGTCAGTACAGTCTGGGTATACGGCTTGAGAGGCGCCAAAAGAGATATTCGGAGTGACTTGTCCGGAGAAGATTTCAGTGAGTGGTGACGTGACAGTGGCAATGGAGATTCCAACATCTTCCAGGATACTGTGCAATTCTGTATGTCCAAAGGGAGTCTTCATCTAATCAACTCGCTGATCAGTTCTCGCCCACCGAGCCGGTGGGAAAATGGCACCTGCGCAACGGCAGGGATGTGGGGGATGGCACGATGGCATGGCATGGTGGTCATGGATGATTCCAGCAGCTGGTTGGTGGTTTGGAACATGGCTTTTATGACTTCCATTTCATACATGGGATGTCATCCTTCCCATTGACGAACGACTTTCATCTTTTTCAGAGGGGCGGCGAAAAACCACCAACCAGCATTTGTACTGGTATCTTTGAGAATTGGTGATCGGCATTTCGGGACTTGTTTTGGGTGCCAATTTCCCACTTGTGGGACGTGTACGAAAATGAAGCTGGACGTCAGACAACGTCAGGCAGCTTCAAAGCATCGAACTTTGTGGCTTCATTCGATGTGTCAAAAAGTGTCACGACTTTGCCACTTCGCAGGAAGGGCTTCTCCCGTGGTGACTTCTTCATCTTTCTCCCTGTCTGGCTTGAAGGCTCCAGCGGACATCTGGCAAGATGATGCCTCAGCTTACTGAATTGATGGGAAGGCATATTTCCAGTTATATAAGTACCGTTTCTAGAAAGTTGCTGTCAGAACAAGCCAGTGACTGCATCTCTTCTTGTAGGAGTCACTGACCGCAACATTCTTGTCCAGGCTTCGTTAGGCATTTGAACGAGACTGCAGCCCTTCCTCGAGTTTTCGAAACCATGGGTTTATTCTGCCAAGTTTTGAAGATATTGTTGATTGTGCGTCTAGACATCGTCTCTTTTTCCTCATCAACGTAGCCCACAAGGATCATTTATGATGTCTTAAGTAGACATCAGAAAGTGCTTCTGAAGGACTTCTGTCCTTGGAGCCGCTATTCAGGGAGCTGACACGAAACTCCTGGTGGTTTCACACGCTTTTCATTTGGAGCGGGGGCGGGGAATGCAAAGAATGTGCAATGATGGAATTGTGATGGACGATGCTGTGAGTTTAATCACATCTGCTGAGAATAGTAGGGGCATCGACAGCCTGATCGAGACAAGGGCATGTACAGCCACCAAAAGAGGGGATTCTTTGTTGGGTCAAGGATTCCTGTGAGGGTCACAGCCATTTTTGGGTGTTGTCACTCTGAGGCATGGTGGTTTACAAGTTTGGCACAGGCCAACTACCAATGGCCAATACCCAAAGCAAAATCAATCGGTGTCTCAATGTGTTGCTAGGGTCTCCCAAATGGAAGCTGGCCGAAACACAGCCCGGTAAGTACATGGGGTTTGACAATTCTGCAGGATTTCTTGCACTCTCGCGTCAATGCAATGCCAATATTTTGCACGATCTTTTCCTCCGCAAAGAGAGCAAATTGGTGGTTTGAGGTGTTTTCTGATTGCACGCTACGGGGTGAACGGAAGTGAGTCCCAACAGTATCCATGAGCTTGATTCTCTCGGATAAATGCTGATTGGTTAGGAGGAATGCTCCAGCCATCGGCGCTCTCTTGATGGGCCGAACGAAGACTTTTCACGTTTTACCTCAGCGGAAAGGAAAACCTGTTGACCCGCTGGCGCTGCAAAAAACTCCCAGCCGCCTGCAATCCAGGAATAAGGACAGCCCCGGGCCCTGAGGTGGTCAAAATCCATAGAAACTCGCATCACTAATTATCAAAGTAATTTTTAGATATCATGAATTTATAATGAAGCTATTTTTGAAATATGTTGAACATTATTGAAGACGATACCACTTGCACATCTCTGCCAGACGTAGATCTGGCCGAGGTCGAAGACCTTCTTTGGGGGTGCGCGTTCCGGGGGTTGGAACAGGGGATGAATTTTTCAGTAGATCCTGGTAGATGTTGATCGAAAGATATGGAAACAAAGGCCTGGACTTTTCTGAGGATTTGGATTGATCCGGCCCCGGAAGGGGATAGTTGTGGGCAAAACATGGTAAACCAATTTAAAACAATCATGAACCATCCATTTGAATATCTTTGACATATTTGACATGTCCCTGCCTCGTTGCTCCGGCCATCGGCCGGAGGCCGTTGACGATGAAGCTCGACGTGACTGGACTGCATTGGAGGGTCAACTGGGCCAGTTGAGGGTCAGCTGGTCAGCTCTTTCCCGAGAAAATCACGTGGAAAAATGTTCATGCTTTTGTTTTACGTGACCGTGGACGATCTGGGCCGTGGATAGCCGCTATTTTCATGTCCATTGGTACCTTCGATGCCGCCATCCCAGGCAAGTGGCGATACCTCGTCTTGCTGTTGCTGGTGGGAGCCTCGGTGCTCTCTCTCTTGCTGGTCCATTCGATCCCTTGAAAAAGCCTATGCTAAGGGTTAGTCCTTCTACCCTTACTTCATAGCTTTTCATATGGCATGTTATCGGGTGTAATGGTGTCATGTCAATGCTCTGTCATATGTGTATATATATATATACTGTATATACATATGATTTCCTATCATATCATATTGTATTTGCATGTATTTGCTGTCTATCAAGCACTCGTAGCACTGGATTTCATCGTGACTCCCAGTGTAGCCAGGCTCGCTTGCAGCTGGACATCCGCGATGACATCCGCGACGCCAAACGCAGTGATGGACCTGCCAGCCCAGTGGAGGCGGACCGACATGGCAGATCCAGGTGCACGACCCCCCTATGTCTAACGTCGACCACCCAAGAATATATATATATATATATACGTGTGTGTGTGATAGACCTTTAGGTACTATTTTGTTCCGTTTTTACTTCCTCATATCCTCCTTCATATTTTACTCTGGAGGCCTTTTATTTGAACACATTAAAGCCAATTAAAGACAAAGTGTCCTTTTCAGGGAATTGTTTTTTAGTTTTTAACTATTAAAAACATTGAGCACTTTAAAAAAATGAAAAATTACTTTACTTCGTGTGATCCCCACCATGACATTTATACATTTTCTTACTGGCAAATCTCCTGGCATTCTATCTGACATATCTTCTGACATTCTATTTGGCATTCTATCTGGCATATCTTCTGGCATATGTTCTGGCATATCTTCTGGCATATCTTCTGGCATTCTATCTGGCAAATCTTCTGGCATTCTATCTGGCATATCTTCTGGCATATCTTCTGCCATTCTATCTGGCATATCTTCTGGCATTCTATCTGGCATTCTATCTGGCATATCTTCTGGCATATCTTCTGCCATTCTATCTGGCATATCTTCTGGCATATCTATCTGGCATATCTTCTGGCATTCTATCTGGCAAATATTCTGGCATTCTATCTGGCATATCTTCTGGCATATTATCTGGCAAATCTTCTGGGATTCTATCTGGCATATTTTGTGGCATTCTGTCTGACATTTTATCTGGCATTCTATTTGGCATACCTTCTGGCATTCTATCTGGCATATCTTCTGGCATTCTATCTGGTATATCTTCTGGCATTCTATCTGGCATATCCTCTGGCATTCTATCTGGCATATCTCATGGCATTTTATCTGGCATATCTTCTGACATTCTATCTGGCATATCTTCTGACATTCTTTCTGGCATATCTTCTGACATTCTGTCTGGCATATCTTCTGACATTCTGTCTGGCATATCTTCTGACATTCTTTCTGACATTCTTTCTGGCATTCTATCTGGCATATCTTCTGACATTCTATCTGACATCTTTTCTGACATTCTTCCCGTTGAGGTCCGGCAGTGCCCACTGCGATCTGGAAGTCGCGGTTGAGGTCCGGCAGTGCCCACTGCGATCTGGAAGTCGCGGTTGAGGTCCGGCAGTGCCCACTGGGATCTGGAGCTCGCGGTTGAGGTCCGGCAGTGCCCACTGGGATCTGGAGCTCGCGGTTCAGGTCCGGCTGTGCCCACTGCGACCTGGAAGTCGCGGTTGAGGTCCGGCAGTGCCCACTGCGATCTGCAACTCGCGGTTGAGGTCCGGCAGTGCCCACTGGGATCTGGAGCTCGCGGTGGAGGTCCGGCTGTGCCCACTGGGATCTGGACTGCGAGGAGGAGGCGGCGGGTGAGGAGGCGGAGGAGGCGGAGGTGGAGGCGGAGGAGGCGGAGGCGGAGGAGGAGGAGGAGAACAGCTCTGATAAAATCTAACAACCCTCACCTGGCAGGTGGGGAACAAAGTGTCCTTTTCAGGGAATTGTTTTTAATGTTCTTAACTATTTAAACACATTAAAAGAATGAAAAACAAAGGATCCTTTTCAGGGAATTGTTTTTAATGTTTTTAACTATTTACAAACATTAAAAACAATGAAAAACAAAGGGTCCTTTTCAGGGAACTGTTTTTAATGTTTTAAACTATTTACAAACATTAAACACAAATAAAAACAAAGTGTCCTTTTCAGGGAATTGTTTTTAATGTTTTTAGTTATTTAAAAACATTAAAACATTAAACGCATAAAACCATTAAACACACATTAAAAACAAAGAGGCCTCCAGATTTGAGATTTCCACGTTGCTCCTCTAATTTGTGCCTTTTGATATGTATATAGGTATACATATATATATATATGTAGATATCTGTAGATAGATAGGTAGAAAAATAGATAGATGGATAGGCAGATAGATAGATAGATCGATCGATAGGTATACATATATATATATACACACAGTGCGCTGGCAAAGGTGCTGACCCATGACTGTTGCCAGCAGCTTAGTCATGAGATATTTTGCGCGCAGCAACATGACAGCTCGGGTGACATGGACATGGGGCTGGAATGCGAAAACTTTGAACACACGCGCCGCAAAAAATGAAAAAATGCAGCCGGAAACGGACCCCAAAATGGGGGTCGTTCTTGTCGCCATTTGTAGATTTAAAACATAAATTGTTTTTTAAATAAATATATGTTTTTTTGTTTGACACTTCCAGGTCAAACAAAGGGGGAACACCGACTGAACAGAACCGCGTGCAGTATTCATTATTCTATATCATTCTATGTGATAGAATAGAACGCATTCAGAATGTATGAATCATGAGTGACGAATTGAGTTTGTCAACTATAGATGTTGAGTGCAGTTTTATATGATCAACCAACAGTTTTCTTTCCGTTTATTTTCAGATCTTCTTAGCTTTGCACCCGAGTGTTAAACCTGTTTATCCACACCCTCTGCACAGGTGGAAGGGACTCGGATTGGACGCGCAGTAAGCCTCGCCACTTGGTGATTGGGATGGACACCACACCGAAATGTCATGTTTGCTTCGGATGACGTTTACAAACTGCGATCAAAGCCATCATCCGGATCTATCTTGAATTCAAGTGTTTCTCCTTCTCAGGCCTTTCGTTCTGACATTTTTTTGTTCCCAAAGGTTTCACTGGTTTCAGCTTTGGATGAAATTCAGAGTCAAAACTTGCAGAACTTAGCTGAGGATCTGACAGAGGGTCCTCAAGTTGCCCATGCAGTGGAGTATCGGAAGCGTGCGCTGGTCACCTTCAATGCTCGCGTGCCTTGGCGAACAGACACTGACACCTTGGTTTTAGCCCAGTATTTCCATGTATTTCCACCCTTTCCCCCATCCCAATAATATCCCAATCATAATAATATATAATGGGATATCAATGATAATGATTGGGATATTATTGGGATATCATAATAATATATAATGGTATATCATAATAATATCCCCATCTCAATAATAATAATAACAATAATAATAATAACAATAATAACAATAATAATAACAATAATAATAGTAACAATAATAATAACAATAATAATAATTAATAATAATAATAATAATAATATATATATATATAATACCCTTTGGTAAACTAACATAACTATGGAAAATCACCATTTTTAATAGGAAAATCCACTATACATGGCTATGTTAAATTACCAGAGGGTAATCAAGCTGCCAAAGCTGCCTATAAACCCATGGCTCCATGGCTTCTTTATCTGTCCAGGTTGGTCTCAGTCGTCTCAGGTCAAAGGAGGCCAATGCTGCGATGCAGCGACCCAAACGGCGCCAGCCATTACGCTCTCGAAGATGTATGGAGGTGGAAACTGGGGGGTCGATCTGGGTCGATCTGGGTCGATCTGGGTGGAGGTAGATGAAAAATCCTGGGAGTTGCTATAAAACCCATGAGCTCGTTGATTGTGGATGGCTATGTCATGCTATGTCCCAAAAAATCGGACGATTTTGGTCTTAGAAAACTCATTAAAGCGGGGAAACTTGCGAAATGTAGGGTTCACACTTTAGACACCCTACACGATAATTTGTGACAGCGACGCCTTAAGCTTTAGTGCCAGATGTTGATCGCATGTCTGAAAGAGGCTTGGAAGTTGGAGCATTGCAAGCTGCAAAGCGTCACCATGGGTTTATGCTGGTCGCATGATCAAGCTGAACTAGCCAGCCTAGTCAGCAGAAGGCATTGTGAACTTGTTAGAATTTGTCACCAATTGAAGCGATCTCATGTTCCGGTACCGTCTGAGGCATTGTGCCACATTACATCCAGTTTCTTGGTCGCAAGAGAGTGGCAATCAGCGATAACTTATCCACCATCAAATGATTCACAAAATTACTAGTGGCAAAGGGTGTGTCGCAAGAATTGGCACTCAAATTTGAATTATACTTATATCTCATTATCAGTCCATGTTTTCAGTACCATTTGCGACCCCAAACATTTTGCCTTTGGAACAAACGCGCAAAAGCATGCAAAAAGCAAAGGAAATGGTGTACTTAAAAACACCTAGGCTCTGATGCACCAGCGCCATTCAGGGTTCATCCAGGGTCCACCTGACGGGCCTGACCACCAATACAGAAATCGTGGATTTCCGTGGCTTCAATTTATTTGGTGGTTCGCGGCTAAAAAAACCCAAGAACCTCCAAGAACCTCCAAGAACCTCCAAGAACCTCCAAGAACCTCCAAGAACCTCCAAGAACCTCCAAGAACCTCCAAGAACCTCCAAGGACCAAGGGAACAAAATTGGACCCAAAATCGCCGGCGCCACATCGCTTGAGGCGCGAGCTGGCGCGACTGGGACAGGAAAATCAACTTCTGCGGTATCGCATCGCCTCGGTGGTCGGAGTGCCCAATTTTTGGGCAACCCACGGGTGGCCACGAGGTGAGGAAAATTCTTAAAAAAAACCGAAGTGTTTCAAAGCTTTAGATCAACATACAGGGCTTACAGTGTCAGTATAGTGTCTACCATTGTCTACCCCATTCCTTTCTCTCATATTCACATCATATTCTCTATAAGAACAAGGGTTTCTTTTCGATGTTGACTGGGGTAAAGCAGTCCTTGGATAGCAAGCATAAGTAGTTGGCTGCAACTTTGGCCACCTGTTTTTTAGCGCTGCTATACTTCGTCATGCTCAGTGAGAACTTCGTGATACAAGCCGTACCAGCATTATACTTTAGATATCTTTAGATTAGGTATGATTAGATGCATGAACATGCTGTTGATTCAGACCACTTTATAAGTCTTGAAGGGGGGGGACTGAGCTGTTTGTTTTTAAGATGCCTTGCTCTGTTGAGTTTGTTTTTTTCTCCAAGAGGTTCGATTTAACTGCGGGAGTTGAATGAAACAAGGCTGGTAGCAGGGAGAAATGGTCAGCGCTTCACTTTCGAACATTTTCTAACCAAATCTGAGCTTCGTGGAGAGCCTTTGTGAGACTGACGTTTCAAAAGACGTTGGAGAGTTCGTGCAATGATGGAGAGACATGGATATGATACAACACTTTGAAACAGAGCCACTTTCTATCGTTCTGGTCACCCTCCATTGTGACTGCATTGCCTATATCTCCTTCCAGCTGCGAGTTATTCATAGTTGTTTGTGTGTTTGTTATTTAAAGAATCGGTCAGTCAAAGAAATTTTGATTTCACTGATAATCAACCACATGTTCTTGTGTTCTACAGTCACAGGATTTTGTGTTCCCAAAGTGGTACAGCATTTTTTGACCATTTACAAGTTACCAGTGTCATCCAGTGTCATCCAGTTGAGAGATAAGAAGTAGCAGATGACTTCAACCAATCGGTTCCTGACCGTTTGGGCAATGGGGTGATTGACATTTTAGTTACCCGTTTTTTCGGCCCGCCACCCGATATGAGTCGTGTAATTCACCATAGAGCTGAGTGTCATTACCATCACCCGATAGAGCTCAGTAGCTGGCCATGATCATGAATCATTTATCTCTCAAAAGTTGGGGAACTTATTGTGGCCGCTCAGGCAATGTCCCAGCCAAAACGAAATGCAGTGAGACACCAGGCAAGATCTTCCGGTCTCGGGTCTTGGACGTGTTGGAAGTGGTGGGATTCATGTGGAAAGGGGATGACTTTATGCCGATTTATGCCATACAGCCACGACGAAGCGGCAAGCTGTGAATTTTCGAATACTTTGTCCTTTCCTGCCCTTTCCTGGATGACCAGAATAGACAGACAAATATCAGCTAGGTTTTTGAGACACCTCCATTCCGTGAATATTTGCAATTCAGAAAGTATATCATGCATCCCAGAGTCCGGTACTGTAGAAGAAAGCTCCGAGAATGCAAGTGGGAGACAAATGCAATGATAATGCTGGTAGTTGCAATTTTATATCTTTGAGATTCTTGGAGCAGGCCCTTTTTCAAGCCGCGAACGCGAGGCAACTCAAACGGCCCCTGCATTGACGTTCTCCACGGGGAGAGGCAGACAGGTTTCTGCGGCCAGGGACTCAAACAAACGACTCGTTCTCAGGTGTTGGTGCCAGCAACTCTAATGCTTGGAGGTCCCATACAGATCTTATATGATTTTGATTGATGTCATATGATTTAAAGATCAGATAGTTGATGTCCATTTCATGACCAGTTAAATGGATTTAAATGGTACTGCTTTGATGCTTGGCTTGGTGGTTTCTTTCACTTTCCGCCACATGTCTTCAACTTTGAGCAACAGCTGTGCTGCGAGGTCACCACCATGACCAGGTTGCCACACTCACTGACTCACCAGGCAGTGCTGGTGAAAAATGGATTTCCCGAAAATTCACAAGGGATTGGATGATTTCAGCTTTTCTTCTAATTAAAAAAAGGTCGGAGCTTTCACACTCTTGTTGCGGATCCACATGTTGAAGGATGCCCGAATTGAATTGAGCAGCTATTTTTTGATATCATGGATTTAGAAAACGAGGAAACTCAACATATGGCTGCGTAGGCATGCGAAGCCTCTTGGCGTAGCCTGCTTGATTTAAATAGTGAAGGCAACTTGCGAAGGCAAACAAGTGCCCATTTTGCTGAACAAAAGCAGCTGCACAACAAGTTTGCGAACGCAAAAGTGTTCCGCGAAACACAATCCTTGTCTTGCGCAGCCATCACTGTAAAGGCACCAGGCACCCAAAAAAGAACAGCGCACTTGTTGTCTTGCAGCTATTGGTACCGCAGCGGGCAAGAAGGCAAGTGCCTTGTGGCCTGTTCAAAGCAAAATACTTGAGGTAGGATGAATGCAAGGGATGACATGGATGACATGGGTGACAATGGGTGACCAATGTTCCCTTGGTTTTCAACCTATGATGGACTTGACTTGTTCTTGGTACTGTACGCCAGGTACCACCCTCCCGGTACGAGCCACCGGAGGAGCAGATGTTGCAGGTTCGCTGCTTGGGTGCTCCCCCAGTATGCTATGAATGAAGGGATGATCAAATATGAAGGGATAGGACGATCAGGTTTTGGGGTTTGCTGGTAATCTTATCCTTAAAAGTTTTCGCCAGGTGCCAGGGCCATCAATCTCCAGACTTGTGGGTCCTGAAGTTGCACCAATCTGTGCACCGGATGCTTCTCCCAAGTGTCTCCACAGAAACTGGGTGATCACACATCCAGGAATCATCAGGAATCCAGGGAGAGGGGTTACCCATGTTACCCATCCAATCCCAAGATCTTGTAGGAATTTTAGCGACATTCACAATCGGAAATACAAGCTGATGCTCGAGAAGATGCTCTCAAGCCGATGGTGTCATCGCAGGCATCCATCTTAGCCTTTGTTCGATCCGTGGAGATGCAGATCGAGAGCCAGGTGTGCTGCAGGTCAATGGTGATCCACTAAGTGGATATGCATTGGTTGTTTGGATGGTTTGTTGGGGTTGTTTTGTCAGCAGGAAATGGTGATCTAAAATGCTTGAAACACATTCTAAAATGCTTGACACACATACTATATATGCAGATTTATAGCGATGCAGATGATTTTTAGTAATGCAGACGTCCACATAGTCACAGGCACACAGACAGCATCTTTGGCACTTTTCTGAAGGTCCTGCTGTGATTTTTAGTGTGGGTGACTACTGGCGACTCCATGCCTGGCAGGCCCCATACCGTCGTGCAGTGATCACCAATTGCAAGCGGGTCGTTGGGAGCCCAAAGTCAACGTTTGTCACCGTTGATGGGTACCTCACCATATGGCAACCACCATTTTAAATGTTGACAGGATGGATACTTTAATCTTTAGCTATAACTGGCAACATTCACCAACCAGATCCAACCAGCATTTCTTTCAAATGGTGTTTGAGAGTGGCCATGGCCAAATAAAGGAGTGCATAAGCCAGACATATAACCCAGAAAATGCTATGAGCATGTGATTATACACGAAATAACATGTATTTCCAGATTTCCAAGTATTCCCATAATATATATATATAGATTGATATTGTGCCAGGGATATAAATTGCTACTTGCATGGGATATATTACCGGATTTGGCTTTGGCGGTTTTCTGTCCCAGTTTCAATTTCAGATCATGGCAACCTGCTGGACCTGGCTTTGGAAATATTTCTGGAAGCCTCGGTGGATCACCTTTGCCAACATTGGATACAGATCGCTCGCCCTGGATGATCTCAGAAACATCCATCATACTCAAGAGGAACAAAGGTGGCCTCGTGAATGGTGGCCTCGGAGGCCTCGTGTCATTGATGATTCACTCCAACGGACCCTCATGCTGCAAGACTTGCGTCTGGACATTGGCGCAATGTGTCATGTGTTTTGCTGTCATTGGATTGGGATCCGCAAGAAGGCCTTGCTTCATTTGCTTCCTTGCAACATCTCCTGAAGAAGACTGACCGACCTGCGCCTGTTCAATTTACGGCGTTCCAACAGCAGGTCTTGCAGATGGTGCATGTGCAGCCTTTGGTTGTCCTGTTGCGGATTTGCAACAGTCCAAGGGCCCATCAATGTTGGCTGAAGATCCTGAAGTTTCGGTCGCCAACTTAGAGACCCAGATAGCTTCGAAGGTGAAGTACCGGGGAACGCTGGTGCTCGTTAGAGATCTCCCATCTTCCGCGGGCCCCATTTTTGGTGGACCACATCGCATGGTCCTTTGCTGCAAGGCCGAAGAGGTAGACATGAGAATGGCTCAGAATTACATATTCTGATCACATGGATTATTGAATACACAATATACACAAATTCAAATGACAATGTTTCTGGGTCCTTTCGTCCCTATTAAAATTGGCTGCCATGCACAGTCAGGCGGCGCCAGCCATTGTCTCACGGTGATCGGGTCAGGGCTTGGTGCAAGCGAAGTTTCAAAAACAGCTCCACTTAGCGTTTGTGCAATGTACCCTCTGGTAATCAAACATTGCTTGCTGCAAATTCCACCATTGAGTTCCATGAATTTCCCAATGACATCTCCATTTAGTTTGGGGATCCAGCCATGGAGCCGATGACACCGGGTCCCAGAAAACCTCAACACAGCTTGGAACTGGTACCATTGAGCATCGACATGTTGGAGCCATTCCAACCTTGAAACCAGTCCAGTGTTGGTTACAAGTTACACCTCTTACCTTAGAAATCCTGCACTTTTCAATGGTGTTAAAGCACCATTCCCAGTTTTCCATATTGTTCCCTTTCCTCAAATGTGACTTTGACATTTCTCTAATGGCACTCAAACAGATGATTTTTTTCGCATTAGGAAGACGACATCTAGGCGCAGACATTGTGGCCCCGCTCTACGCTGGAGCTCTATGGATCCTACGCCAGCGGTTTGGGTCTTCGCAACAGCGGTTTGGATTTGCTGCTGAAGGTGGGAAACTGACGTCACAGGGACGTTGGATGGTGACACCATGTGACACCGAAGGAATTTTCAGCTGGGGCAAGCTTTGTTATCTTTGTTTCTTAGGTGAAAAGAGCAATTATTACATTGGATGTATAATATAAAATAGTCATATATAATGTCATAATATCATGTTCTATAATGTCATATATAATTAGTCTGAACATCAGGATGCTCTGATGTTGAAATTTGTGAACTGCATGGACTGTTTGACTCTCTCAGATTCTTTTGGCACACGAAACACAAGTCAGCCAGCTGCCAACACCAAATCATTGACACCCCAAATTCATCAAACTTGGACGATACATGATGGACAAGTGAACTGAAATATACTGAACCTGAAGATGACTTTTTCATCATTCCCGGTCCGGCAGAGAAAAAATAGGCCTCCCGGCCTCCGGCGCCACGAAATCAGAGGTGCATCCTTCAATCCATGGCTTCTCTGCTCGTGCTGTCTCCGGAGAGACACCTGATGAGCAGGTGACAACTGTGGGTGAGTTCTGTGCGACTGCGACGGGCAGGGATGGGTCACCTTTCTGGGCACTCACAGCTCCTCATCGTACTAGGGAAAAGCAGCACGCAACTTGTGGAATTTCCATGAGTTCATGTATTCATATGTATTCCTATCCATTTTGCCTCATTCTGTAATCAAACTCAGAGTGGTCTGGCATAGCAACGCCAAATTCCGGAAGGACCGATGCTTCCGAGAGGAAGTGATGATCAGTATGGTGGGCGGAATCAAAATAATACTTCAACAACTCTGTGCCGTCGATGTTTTTTGAACGCTCATGCGACATTCGAGTCAACACACATGCACACATCTGTGTGCATTCTACAGCAGCTACAGCTCAGCACGTGCATCCTATTTTTAGTGGCATGTATGTTTCAAAAATGTCTAAGATGTTCTTTATACATTTACAACAATATTTTATAATCATCTGGTTATTTGTCACATAGCCATGGAAAGATCCACCATTTTTAATAGGTAAACCATCTATATATATATATATATGGACCATCTATACCATGGCTATGTTAGTCATAACCAGAGGGTAATCATTGATACTTCACAGTCAATTGTTTTGGACAGTCACCTGCGAGGCGGCGTTGTCGCCCATCGAGGAGGACGACGAGCAGCTCCGACAGTTGAAGTTGGAGGAAGTGTCGTGGGGAGCCACAGATGTTGTTTTTTTTTTTTTTGCGGAAAATGTCCTGAACATGTCATGGAAATGTTCCAAATGTTGATCCACTGTGGGGATTTAGAACATGAAGATTTATCAAGAAATTAGATGGTGATCCAGATGGTTATCCATAACATTTATCCATAACATTTATGATGGTTATCCATAACATCCAACATTTTAGAACGGATTCAGATGGTGGATGTTAAACAGGCCGGTGTCATGAGTTGGATGCCTCAAACTGTTGAACAACACGTGGAAAAACAATGGTTTTGATGTCTGACTTGGTCATTTCAAAGACATAATTCATGGTAATTCATGGTAATTCGGTAAATTCGTGTTACCCTCAATGGCTGAATCCAGTTGAAGTTGGTGTACACATTACACAATTTTTTTGGTCATTTTCATCACCAGAGACGGCCACGCCTGCATGTTTCCTGGCTACAGTTGATCAACAGTTGACCAACCATAAACGAGGTAAATCAATGTAAGGCTGATCTTTTCTTAGGAGGGCGCAGGGCCAACAACAGACATTTTTCCTTGATGTGCACAATGTGCAGGCTTTTGGTTTTGGGCGCGCAGTTTGCTGAACAATTTTAATGCAAGCTCCAAAATCACCCTCAGGGTGATCACTGAGTGATCAGGGGGTCATTCGCCTAGGCCTGCGCACTCCACCCGCTCTGTGCGTGGTCCATTGTCCGGATGGCAGCAACAGCTGTCAGATCGACTGGCCAAAGAGAAATGGGTGTGGAGCCCAAGCCATTCCAAGCCAAACCCATTGTGGGTGATGACTTGCCCCAGCCAAACTGGCTTGATTTCCAAAGGATGCAGAATGGCTGGAACCAGCCACTTGCCACAGCGCCAGCATAGCATGCTCAGGTGGTCAGCGACTCCATCCGAGTGGCTGCGCATGCAGCCATCCCTGTGCTATCCTTCGCAGCTGCGCCGGAGGCTGGTCGGGACTTTTGACTGTGGGGTAGGGTGCCAATGTGCCATGATTGTGCCATGGATGGCCAGGACATTTTCTCTTTCACCTGAGCTCTTCCAAGTTTTGAAAATTCACGCGCAGGATTTTTATTCTGCTAGTTCTACAACGTTGGCCAAGTTTTCAGAAGCCTTATTCCCTGTGAAGTACGAAGTATCATATTATATGTATATATATATGATATATAGATATATAGATATATGTGCAGGGCCATCTAGCAGTGGGAAACTGTGATATGGAATTGAAGGCTACTTCATTTGTCCCGCATAAGAAAATGGCATAATCTTGTGGCGCTGGCAAGATTTCCGGAGAATTTGTAGGTTTCGTCTTGCAGATATCAAGCTTGGGTCTCTCAGGGATACTCTTGAGGTCAAGCGAGTGACAGAGAACGAGGAGTTCATGACCTGTTTGGGGGACCCAGCATCCACCTCATGCTCGATTCACACTCCGGCACCTCTAACATAGAATTGGAAAAAGGACCGATTTGAGCCGAAGTGAGTCATATTTGACCTAAGCCATCCATAGCCATCCATAGCCATCCATAGCCATCCTAAGCCGAAGTGCACTACATTTTTTCAGGCATCCCCGTGGCCCCATGGCCCCATGGCCCCATGGCCACTGGACCTGCGGGCGATGGTGAATTCCCTGCGAGGCTCTACGCGCGTGGACATTTGTCTCCACGACTCGGGCTACCGTGGTCTGCGAAGCAAGGCATTGATCAACTTCTTGTTGAGTCGCTATCCATTGGCCAGGCACGCCCGGAGGTTGGGTGGTGGAAGGTGGAATCAGATGTTCACGGGATAGGATGGTTTGACTATCGGTCACGTAGTTCGCCATCATGTTTCATTTCAATAAAGCTAGCAGTTAGCCATCAGACTAGTTGTATCTAGTAGCATGTTGTAGTTTGATTTCGAGACAATTTTTTGTAATCTGGCCAATTCTGGCCATCCACCCCGCAATCATTGCTAGACTCTTTTCCTTGGTGAGTTCCATGGGTTTGTTCCCCAGGCCGGTGACTTTGGTGCTGAAGCAGTGGCTCATCGTTTGGTCCCCCAGATCTGGTGCCTTGGATCCCAGTGGGCCACGACTGGCCTGGTAACCCACGGCGCCTGAGGAACAGGCGTATTCCATGTCGCACAGTGGTGGCCTTTGCTCCTATGGCTTGTTGTTGCTGGGAGACCTGGAAGGTCCTGGAAGTCTGGAAGGCGAAAATATGGCGAAAATGAATGCATCGACTGGGGATATGGTCTCTTATGATTTCAATGAAAGATCCGCCACTAAAAGAGAGTCATTGAGTCTCTGAAAGAGTTGACATTGTTTCATCCTTGGCATTTGTAGTTAGGTGCAGGAACAGTACCGTAGTCATCTACTTGCGTCCTTACGCTACCCCCGGCAAGCTTACATTGAGGGCACACAGCACACAATAGTGGCGCTTGTTCATTTTTCCAATTCTTATCAAACAAGAAGACACTCGGCTTGTGCACGCATACTACAACACGTCCTACTCCATTTTGATGTCTGCACAGCTTAGCTCACAGCAGTGGTCTTGATTTACAAACCATTCAATTCCTGTCTTCATCAATAGCACATTCACATTGTCAAAGTCAACAGCCACAAATACAAACTTTACCTCGCACAGCTGTGTCATTCAGATGATATCACTATTGATTTTGGCTCTTAAATGACTGGATTTGATTCCTGAGACCCATCATGTTGTCACTTATCCTGAGGATGGTCATTGCTTTCCTGCAGTACAGCCCAGCCAATACAGCAGCGGCAGCCGGGACGCTCAAGGGGAGGGTCCAGAGTCCAGAGAGATGTTGGTAATTTTTCTGTGATCGATTGCTTGCTCTGCTTTCCCAATATCTTTCCCAATGAATCGAGAATTCACACAGTTTGACTACCCCATAGCATCCATGGTGCTGCTGTAATATATGGTAACATGGATCCCATCAATATACCCCCTTTATGTTAGCATATATACCAGCACCATGGATGCTTTGACGACTGTCTGCTCACCGTTTTTCGATGACCAGCCCAACGAAAGAAACCGCAGTCCACAGATGACGCCAGTCTTTTGTGGACGATTCGAAAAGAGACTCCTGACATCTCCTGACGGGATTTCAGCCGGCGTAGTGCGAAATTTGATAATTGATATAATTTAACCATCACTAATAATCATTAATAACCATATAATATATATATAATCATCATTAACCATCATTAATAACCATAACCATCATATAACCATCATATAACCATATATAACCATTAATTGATCATTTTTTTCGCCATTTGCACTTGTCATGATTCCAAGCAAGGACGTTTGCGACCCAAATGCTATCCGATTCCCTTTGAACATATCGAAACATATCGTATCATGTCCTCCTGGCCTTGCTCACTGCCAAGGCCTTAGTAGGCTTCTTGGACTTCTACGGTCATCGCTTTGATCCACAGTCTCTCAGCAAATTGGGGGGTCCATGGGGAAACTCCATGGATGTTTCCATGGAAACTCCATGGATGTTGGGAAACAACGACCAAGCGTCAGCCGAGCTCAGGCTGTATGGTGTCAGTGTGGCGCGCTCGGCCTTCTTGCCCCGAAAGAGCCCTATGTCTTGGCCGCCTCAACAGGCCGGAGCTGGAGACGCGCTTTGCATTCGAAGTTCCCAATTTTGCTCTGCTGCAACTTCAAGTTGAACCGACCCGCAGACCACAACTCAGAAGTCTTCAACATTTTAATCATATATCATATCACATATATATATATATATATCTAATTATATATACACATACACAATACATATCATTACACACATATATATATATATGTAAAACATATATATATATATGTAAAACATATATATATATATATATATGTAAGACATATATATATATATGTAAAACATATATATATATATATATACACATATATATATATATGTAAAACATATATATATATATATGTAAAACATATATATATATATCAAAATACATATATATATATATATCTTGATAAGTTCAACTTCTAGCGGGTCAGGTACCCTCCATTTGTGTCTCCAAAGGCTGAGCTGGTGGAGCGTGGTTTCCTGGCACGAAATGCCGGCTGGGGGCTCAGCGGGGCTCAGCATGGATGAATATCATAGGAATCATAGGGATTGATCTCAAGAACGGCTGGAGTTTCTGGAGTTTCTCGTATTATGCTGTATGATCAAAGTTTAGATAGCATGTGCGAGACTAGAACTTTCTTCTCGTGGAATTCTAGATCTGCAAGTCAGAAACAACTGTCACCTGCCATCTTTCAGACATCCCACTATCGAATTCCACAGATCATGCTGCCAAGTTCCCCTGCGAAGATGCCAGTTGGAAGTTGAATGAAGTTGACAAGCCAATCAGACAATGATGGAGGCCACATTGTGGCACATTTTGGATCTTTCGACATCCATGGCCTTTCGACATCTCCCACAGGTGACACGGGTGAAGAAGCACATCGCTTCGATCCATTGCTGGTGCTGCGATGGGTTGTGGGGCTTTGGTGTGATGTCGTGTGTGACATGATCTGAGTGTGGAAACAAAACATGAGGAAGTAATACTGTAATTACTCAGTTTTGTAGTGTAATTATTCAGTATTGCAATGGTGAAACATGGTAAAACATGAGGTAGTAATGGCTGAAACATGGTAATTACTCAGTAAGGGATCATGGTTTCACCATGTTTCAGCCATTGCAATCGCAGCCGACGATCGCGGAGCAATGTGCCAGGTGGAAGATCCAGTGAACCCTACGAACAACGTAGGGTCAGCCACTCCAGGGCGGGAGAATGTGAGGTTTTCTTGACATCACCCGACATAACCCCTGGGGACCCCACAGAACCCTACCAATTTTCTATCCACATTTACAGTGTAAGAGGAAACATTCGAATAGTCCGAATGGTCTGAAGGAACTGCTGGCTGTGACAAGAGCAGTAGACATCAGACCATAGTAGACCTTCAGCTTTTGCTGGGAATTTGCACCACACTGACACCCAAGCAGCAACTAAAAACTGCTTGGTGGTTTCAAACATTTTTTATTTTCCATTTCATATATGGGATGTCATCCTTCCCATTGACGAACTCCATCATTTTTCAAGATGGTGAAATTGCACCACCAATCAGGTTATTATTAACCATATAATAACCATATATTAACCATATATTAACCATATATTAACCATATATTAACCATATATTAACCATATATTAACCATCATTCACCATATATTAACCATATATTAACATATATTGGCTCAAGCACCAACCAGCAACTGTCGCCCACGTGCTGTCGCAAGGCGGAACTGCTTTCGGATTCGACAGATCCAGCGGTCCTTGGCGCGGGCAGCAGATCTCATCGCGGGCAAAGAGGCGTGGCCCTGGAGATTCCTGGTGGAATATATTGGTAATTTATACTTACTACTAGTATAAACTAGCATAATTATCATAATACAACATATAATTCATATTGATATATATATATATACAATATACATATATGTGTATATACATATAATATATATATATCTATAATAATAACGAATAAGCACTTATATTGAGATTAATATGATTTCATATTACGTATAGTACATTTATTGTATGAACATAATGTGTATAGATGTTTACAATGTATTGATTCTCGCGAGCTATCACCTATGATCGAGATATCACCCAAGATTCTTGAGATATCAGCAACGATATGGCACCGGGATGGACGATGCTTCGTATTGGCACCAATCTAAGGATTCCTCATGTTTGGATGCCAGTTCCTGTAGTCGTGTTTCTGTGCTGGCGCCACACTTCATGATTTGGCTCTGCTGGTTGACCCATTTCCTTTGCATCTTCCCTTCATTTTTTGGTGGGAGAGACCTGAGTTATCCGACACTCCGTAGAATCTACCTCCAAACAGAACTTCAACAATTCAAGGTCAAGAACCACACGACATTCTTTGAACCAAATGTAAACCGACTCATGCGTGTTCCCGTTGCCATCCTCCCCCGACTGCAGGGCACTACCACGTTGAGAGCGATTCTGAGGGTCGGGACTTGCAGTGGGAGGGTGGAAATCCTCCTGGGAAACATTTCATTGCGAAGAAAAGCAAATCTAGTCATCTAGGCAACATCTAGATTCTAGATCATTCCAGATGATCTAGATGATCTAGATGTTCATTGAACAGAAATTTAGGGATCCTTAAACATTCCTTAAACATCCTTCAAGTTCAGCAGCTTCCGTAAAATCCCACGGTGGAGATCTCCGCGCCCCATCGCTCAGGTGGATGGACCCGGCCAGGAGGCGGCGGAAGGGTATGGGGCAGTCCACCATTTTGACCACCATGGCATGCTGGTATGGTACCATTAATGGTTATTACTATGGTTACTACTATGGTTACTATATGGTACTTATATGGTTAGATTTATTGCTACTTACACATGGTTACTATACTGCCATCGAGATTTATCACATGTTGCATGATAAGACGTAGAACATCGTATAACGATACGATGGATAGATTAGTGATATCATATATGATATCATGAATCAATGATATCTAAAGGCACCTAACTTTCACCATGTCAGAATGGGGATAGTTTATCAAGTGATCGGAATCCCAAGTCAAAGGGACATATTTTTCGACCACCTTTTTTTTCTCGGGGATACCAACCGGGACATATTTTTCATAGGGCACAGCTGATGGGCCTCTCCTGGTGACAACGCAGCGCAATCTGCACCGGGCCCTCATCGACTGAGCTTTGCCTAGCGCAATGTCGGGTGCTCCGTTGAACGCAGCTCCTCCCCAGGTGACGAAGGGGAGAGAAAGCCATGTTCCATGTCCTGCGATCTGCTGAATCCAAGATTTGGATCCGTAAGAAATTCCGCGCTGGGTGTTCTCGATCTTAAAGCTGATTCCCAGATGCCTATGGCTTCTTTTGAAATGATGTAGAGTGATGTACAGTGTTTCAATCTTCCTGTAGGAGACCCTGGAAGCAAGGGAACAGGGACAATGCCGTATCTGCCTTGAGTACGGTCTTGGCCCCAGGAGATCCAGGAGTTTTGAGCTGCTGACATCTACTGAATCTACAAATCATCTAGGTAAGAAGATGTCACCTCGTTTAACTCGTTTCAACCGCCAACGTTTTCCAAATCTCCAGGTGGACCAGATCTTATTGCTCCATGCCTTTGCAAAGGCGGTCACCGCCCGTCAGTAGAGATTGGCAGCACTGCATTGGCAATCTTGGCTCCTGCAATGTACCAATCTTCCTGAATTTTCCTGAACATTACATAACATGTTTCTTCATTACATCTTCATTGCTAATTACAGCACCGCTTTGCATAGACTGGCAGGCAGCGGCAAGTGGGTTCATCGTCGCTGTTTGGACTACTGGCGGGCACGTGGTCAAGGGTATCTTATGGCCTTTGCTTCAGGCTATTTTTTTCTTTTCATGACCAACTAGTAAGTGGGCTTCAAGACCCAGGAATCACTCTGGGAACTTCTCTTATGGTTCAAACGGTTGCTGCATACTTCACTTGTGCTTTCTCAAATCAATATTTGCCGTGTACTAAAATACTGCAAATATACAGCAACATAGATCAACACATGTACGTATATATATTATATGATTAATATAATAGTGATATGTATATATATATATGAATGGATGTACAGCGTACTTTTGTTGTCTTTCAACCTGAAGTGCGTTTGCGGATATGCTGCAGCATTTGGCAATTCATGTGTCCTTCGTTGGGAGTCAGGAAATATCTCGAATCTAGTGGCCAGCGTCGCTGAGGTCTCGCACTTTCACTCATTGTCCAAATTGTCATTTCGTTACTCGGCCTCTGGGGGTGCTAATTGAAAGAAGGGAAGGTCTAAAGGGGCTGTTTGCGGCATTTGCCGTGTGTCTCAGTCCAAATTTGAATTCAGATTTAGACCTGAGCTGAGATATGCGCAACTTACAAGACGTATTGTATATATATATATTATATAATAAATTCCGGGTGTTTATCATGGTCTCTGACTCTGCGTTTGCAACGTGGAACCTGGACAACCTAGGCAACGCCCAGCACTGGGCACGAACATGCCTATCATTGATTATCCATCACTTGCTTCAGCAATAGCCTTGAATTACACACAATGCACATACATTTGACAATGTTTGCTCAATAGTCCTTTCTTACCCCACCATTCTTTTCTTTCACTGAGGCCTATTTGATGGAGTTGATGCGCGCACCCACGGAGACAGAGCAGCGTTTGCGTGAGCGGCGTCGCGCTGTGCTGCGGCAAGCTGCATCTCGGCAAGACGCTGAAGTTGGCAGTAAGGTTGACACCACAGGGTTTGTTGACACCGCAGAACTCCTTTCACGCAATTCCTCTGCTTGTGTGATGACCCGCCTTAGATGCTACAAGATAGTCTCAACAAATCGGATAGAGTATGGAATCATCCAGCACGGAAGCGCAGCTCACATTTTGCTCCAGACAATTCTGTCCTAATTCTCATGGCCATAGCCCAGGCTGTTCATTTTCTCTTGGGAGTTCTCTTGTTGCAGCTGTTGCTTTGCATAGTTGCTGTGCTCATCAGGCGGGACAAATCAGACGGGGAAGTGGGAAGGGGCCCAAAGTGGTGCTGGTTGTGACTGGCTGTGGAGATGTTGCACTGGCATTACCCGGGACCCCCCCCTGCCTTACATATTTGAATGTCTTTGGTTATCAGAACATATAAGAACCACCCAGCAGAGACCTTTGGACTGCTGAGGTTGGTGGATAGTGATGAAGAGTTGGTGGACATCATGCCCTTTTGGAGTCCGGTCCTCCCCGGCGAGGCACCCTGAGAGGTCTCAGAGCTAATAAGAACTGATAAGATAGCCTAGTGACCTAGTGTGATGCGATGTGATGCGAGAGACTCAACTGCCACATGACGAGACATTTTCTTTGGAGGACTCGTCACTGACCACATCTGACCACACAACTGTCCAGCTTGGTGACTCGTCGCCAGTCGAAGCGCTCCTTTTTCCAAGCGTTCCGATACCACAAGACCACCTACTACTTTGCCACTCAGCTGGACCTGGAAGACCTGATCTGGACCTGGTCTGGTCACAACGAGTCACCTGCTCCCAAGGCCTCAGTGGTGTTCTGCTTGGCCATGACAGGTCTGGGGGTGTGCCTTGGATCAACGAAATGCACAGGCCTGCACAGGCACCTTTCCTGATGTTGCCGTAGTTGCTTTCTCATGAGTGAAAATGTAGGGTGTTCGGGTTATAGATCAGTGCAATTGTTTCTAAGCACAGTGACTGCATCCAGTCTGGAACACAGAAGACGCAGAACAGATCTCAAAGCGCAAAATCATCTTCGGATTATATTTGATCTATGATGATCTTTGATGATCTTTGATGATCTTTGATGATCCATTGATGTTAATGTTATATATATACTATGTAATCCATACACTCTATACTGTGTATATATATATGTAATCCATACACTCTATACTGTATATATATATAATCATATAACATCCATGGGTTTCCATGGATACCCTGACATCCTTAGGCTACCTCTCAGATCTCTCAGGATCATCTACTACACTGCCAAGCTTTGTGCCAAGTGCTGCGCGAGAAGAGGCAATGCCACAGTGCTGGGCGCCGTGACCTCTTGATTTAGCATGTCTTTTAGTATGTGAAAGGGGAATATGAAGTTTTATGAAGTTTTAGACCATGGGGTGGAATGGTGTTCCGAATTTTGAGACATCAATCTCTACTTTGACTCATCTTCAGCTCATTCAAATTGATCGATGTAAGGGCCACGGCTGCAGGCAGGAATCAGGGCATCATCATGATGAATCACCATGGTACCCCCAAATCCAATGGTTTTCATTTTCTCATTTTCCTGATCGGTTCCTTGGACCAACATGGATTTTCCGGGGGTACCCCATGGCCATGGTACCAGACATACCCGCTTTAGCTGCTCAGGCAGAGGTGATGGGCATCAGTGCGACTTCGACTGCTGCGATGTCTATTGCAACACCTGCTGCTGCTGCTCGCAGCGGTCGCCGCTTGGGAGCGAAGGATGATGGCAATGGCAATACATAGCTTAGCTATAGGCTATACTGGTTGGTGTTTTGGAACATTTTTTATTCCAACTGACTCATATTTCAGAGGGGTTGAAACCACCAACCAGTATACTCTTGATTAAATGTATTTAAAATTTAATGTACAGTATGATCCATTATGATCTACCCCAAGATCGATTGATCTATTATGTACTTTCATTTGTCCGCTTGTTCTTGAATTTCGACACTGGAAAACCATGTTTAACTTTGCCACATTCGTCCGCTACTTGGCCATTTGTGGATTTTGTGGCTGCCGAATTCTGCTGATCTCTGAGGGACTACGGGAGTCGCTCAGTCTTCATCTACAACACTGGTGGCTATCACGGCCACCATGGTGGGGACTGCTGCTGTACAGATTGCCTTGGCCTCAGTCGTATGCTGCGGTTCAACGTGTGAGAAAAAGGGAGAGTCCAACGCAAGAAGTCATTGAATCCCATTGCTTGATTTCAGGAATCGTTTTCTGATGTTTTCTTCGGGCGTTTTTTCACAAGGTTGACATGATCATACCATTTCTAGCGATATCCCAGTTATGCGTAGCTGTCTCTTTTCAGGGGGCACGATGGGGCATCGAATCGTCACAGATTCCCAAAGTCTCAAAGCTTTGGCAAACATGAATTACTGTCCATTCCTGCTAGGAATATGACATTTTCTTCAAGTTTCTGACACGTTCTAAACTTTGAAATAATATGAAATCATGCTCTCAATGTTTTGGGATTTGACATTGAGGGAGTACTGCCTTTTGCTTGTAGGATCTGCTCATGGAGTCATGGACATGCAGTAATTTGGTCGGGACTTTGCCCGAGCCGTGCGTTTTTCGTCGCAGTTTCCCTGCGACGAATGGAGTCCGTGCGAAAACACTGGCTGAGATATGCCCCACAAACTCCGACAAGATTGTCCGTGCAGAATTGGACAGATTATCACACCGGAGACACTTTCACAAAACCAGCGCGGTGCTGTGGCACTGTGACATTTTGCAGACTCCGATGGAAGGCATGGCCTTCTCAGGGACAGAATGCAGCTTGGAAGTTCATTGGTCAAGGAATCTACACTGCTTGCCACATTTCCATATGAGCAGCGTTCAAAACCCTTATGTAGAGAGCTTTACTTGGACTTAAACTGGGTAGCGCCAAAGCAAAAATACACCCCGTTTGAACACGGCTCATATTACTTGACATATTACATCATATGACCCTGCACTTGTCAATGATGCAATCGGTCACACGCGCTGCCTAGGTTGCGACTCGTGTTGCAATGCGACCTGCGCTCAGAAATTGGACTACGGATGACATGTTACGACAGCACCAACAAACGATGACTACACGGACATGTTGGAACTGTTGGAACCTCTTGTGACATACTGCCTGGATCAGTGAATGAAAGGTTTGTTGGCATGTGGATGATGTGGATGCCGGATTGGGATTGAACAACTGCAGAAGGGTTTAGTGCACTGAATCTGAAGATAACCTTTGTTCATGTCCTCCTTGGTTTGGGTAGGACCTATCCTTGACATCTTTTTGTTGGGAACCCCAAAATTGTAGGGCATCCTGTCAATGCAAGCTTTTGGAAATGCCTTTTACAAACAAGAATTAGATTGGAATCATCAGGAGTCTAAATTAAATTAACACATTGTGAGGTTTTCAACTCTACACCTACACACAGTGGTGAACGAACATGGATCAACTTACAATGCGAACTGACTGCAGAGGCTCTCTTGGGAACTGACTGGGACGTCAGCCGCCCGAAACAACGTCTCAATGCCATAGACGACCTGGGTTTGTACTGATGTTTCTTGATTTATCATGATTTACCAATCTTTTTTGGCTATGCGGTTTTTGAACCATTGGCAATCATTGGATTTTGGGAAAAAAACTATATAAATACGTATAATGATATGATTACACACACATATATATTGTAGAGCTTCGCACACCGGCGACGCCGGTAAGGGTCGGGGGAGGGAAAGAGAGAGGGGGATGTCATCTGAACTTGCGAACATGACATGCTGAGGGTCGGCGGCCTATCTTGGGGCTATGTTGGCCCATCTTGGGGCTATGTTGGCCCATCTTGAGGCTATGTTGGCCTATGCCTAGTGTTGTAATTTACAGCATTTTGTGCTGTGAGATGGTAAGAACCCGTGTAAATACCACAGTTTTAGTCCCCGAAAGTGGCTAAAACACTCTTATTTACAGAGTTTCGTTCACATCACGATCTTCGATTTTTTGAAAAACGTGTAAATACCAGCGTTTTTTGCATTCATCAAGACAAAAAATCGGTTCAAAAAGTGCAGAAAATGCTGTAATTTACAGGGGAGTGGCCCCGTCACAAGCAAAAAAAATCGTCCAAAAGTTGCCAAAACACCGCTATTTACAGTGTTTCGTGCCTTCCACGTTTGCTTGAAATTGCAGAAACATTGTTAAATGATCGCATTTTTTGCGATCAACCCGCCAAAAATGCTGTAATTTACAATGTTTTTTTGCTTGGCTTTCAAAAACACTGGTATTTGCAGTGTTTTGTGCATCTCGGGTCCAAAAAGTACTGGTATTTACAGCATTTTCTGCGTTTTTGCATGGCTCCCGCCAACGACGTTAAAACGCAAAAATGTTGTAATTTACAGCATTTTGTGACTTCCGAAAAGCGAAAAATCGTCCGAAAAATGTGTCAAAACGGTACTTTTTTCCGATTTTTGGGACCTCCAAAACGCATCTTCAAATTTTACCATCTTTTTGTCCACCCCAGACCCCGAAAAACGTGAAAACCCCACCAGGCTAAAGGATTTTTGGGGAGGGTCGGCGGCAGGGGCGCGCCCCCGGGTAGCTAAAGCTATGCTTAGCTTCCCCACACTACACGGCGAGGCGTCGCCGGATTTAAGGGCTGCCGCCCCTGCCGCCGACCCCGAAAAGTTGGGCAGTCTGCCTGATCAGGCCAAGCAGCAAAACAGCACCTAATTGTGTGCCGAAACCGTGCTCAAACTTACCCACAAAAAGTGCCTAACGTCCCTTCTGAATTCCTAGAAAAAAAAAAATCTGTCTCCTGCAGCTGTTGTTTGGTGGCTCGCTGCAAGCATCAGGCCTCCAGAACGGACCCTTCGCCACAGCAAAACAGCACCTAATTGCGTGGTCCTAGACTATAAATCCTAGAAAATCTTAGAGAAACCAACAGCTAGACATCTTTTTCGAAACTCACTCGAAACAGCAAAACACCACCTAATTTCGTGCCGAAAATGACGCAAAGTCGCAGCAAAAAAATGCCTAACGTGTCTTCTGAAATCCTAGAAAATCCTAGAGAATCCTAGACTAGGAGGTCTTAGACTATAAATCCTAGAAAATCTTAGAGAAACCAACAGCTAGACATCTTTTTCGAAACTCACTCGAAACAGCAAAACACCACCTAATTTCGTGCCGAAAGTGACGCAAAATCGCAGCAAAAAACTGCCTAACGTGTCTTCTGAAATCCTAGAGAATCCTAGAGAATCTTAGACTATAAATCCCAGAAAATCCTGCAGCTGCCGGTGCTGGTGCTGTCGTCCGCTGATGCCGGTGCTGGTGCTGTCGCTGCGGCGGCTGCTGCTGCTGCTGCTCTTGCTGTTCCTGCGCTGCTGCTGCTCCTGCTGTGCCATCAACCAGCCTCCAAGGCGAGAAACCAACAGCTAGACATCTTTGTCGAAACTCACTCGAAACAGCAAAACACCACCTAATTTCGTGCCGAAAATGACGCAAAGTCGCAGCAAAAAACTGCCTAACGTGTCTTCTGAAATACTAGAAAATCCTAGAGAATCCTAGACTAGGTCCTAGACTATAAATCCTAGAAAATCTTAGAGAAACCAACAGCTAGACATCTTTTTCGAAACTCACTCGAAACAGCAAAACACCACCTAATTTCGTGCCGAAAATGATGCAAAGTCGCAGCAAAAAACTGCCTAACGTGTCTTCTGAAATCCTAGAAAATCCTAGAGAATCCTAGACTAGGTCCTAGACTATAAATCTTAGAAAATCTTAGAGAAACCAACAGCTAGACATCTTTTTCGAAACTCACTCGAAACAGCAAAACACCACCTAATTTCGTGCCGAAAATGACGCAAAATCGCAGCAAAAAACTGCCTAACGTGTCTTCTGAAATCCTAGAAAATTTCAGAGAATCTTAGACTAGGTCCAAGACTATAAATCCTAGAAAATCTTAGAGAAACCAACAGCTAGACATCTTTTTCGAAACTCACTCGAAACAGCAAAACACCACCTAATTTCGTGCCGAAAATGATGCCTAACGTGTCTTCTGAAATCCTAGAAAATTTCAGAGAATCCTAGACTAGGTCCTAGACTATAAATCCTAGAAAATCTTAGAGAAACCAACAGCTAGACATCTTTTTCGAAACTCACTCGAAACAGCAAAACACCACCTAATTTCGTGCCGAAAATGACGCAAAATCGCAGCAAAAAACTGCCTAACATGTCTTCTGAAATCTTAGAGAATCCTAGAGAATCTTAGACTATAAATCCCAGAAAATCCTGCAGCTGCCGGTGCTGGTGCTGTCGTCCGCTGATGCTGCTGCAGCAAGGCACGGAAGGACGAACAGGCCCTAGAATCGCACCGAAAAAGTGCCTAACGTCCCTCTGAATTCCTAGAAAAAATGTCTTTTTCCCAACTTTTTCCACTTTTTCAATCTCCCATCAGCTCACCTGCTGCTGCTGCTGCTGCCCAAAAGCACCTCCCGGCACAAAAACAGCCGTTGCTGCTGCTGCTGCAGCAGCAGCA